CCTGATGCCTTGACTGCGGCGCTGCTCAACCTGCAAGTGTGTTTTAACATGTTAGGAGAGTTCAGCTTTTCCAGCAGGGCTGCTTGAGCTCATGAGCTAAAGTAACAAAGACCCTGTGAATATCTGACTCACAGACAACTGTCAGCGTTCAATGGGCCGGATTAAGACGGAGCATAGAACCGAGCGCACCCTGACATGTTGACATGTTCTACTAAGTGCATTTCAAGCTGGATTTAACCCGTTTGCTCCATTGTGGAGCAACAGAGGAGACACAATTGCCAAATGGGGCCGAGCATTCTTGAGAGAGCGGCTGAACTTTCCTCCCTCTGTCTCCAGCAGGACTGACACCGGCTTCATTCTCAGGGTGAATAAGGCTGCCGTGGATCTCGAGGAGGTTCAGGGGTTTCAGAGAGCTCTCTCCTTAACCAAACAAACACGCTGGAATTTCTGCTATTGTTGGTGCACAGGGCTGAGTGACAGGGCCGCATAGCAGGGCCGCCTGTCAGCAGAGACATCTCGGGGTCAAAGTGTGACCATCTATTTGAGAAGTTGCTATCAAAACTTCTCAGATGAACCGGTGCATCAGCCAAAGTGTAAATGTTCTATGACTATATGTATGATGTCTGCTCCTCAGGATTCAGGTTCCACTCTGTGTAACATAACAAAGCCTGTTTTATTATTTAGTAAATAAACGTATAAGTATATTCTCATTTAAATGTGGCAGAATTCTGCATTTTGGTCATAAAATAGTAGTATTTGAGTAGCTGTTACAAAAAAATCTTACATTTAGTCATCATCTGTGTCAGTTTTCCCCATAACAATTTCCCACCCTTTAGGCACTGAATTATTTATTTATTTATTAATTATTAATTATTTATTTAGACATCATAGATGTATAATTATGTATGTAAGGGCTCCATAAACTTAATTTATATGGAAAATACAGATGTTGTGCTCGTTCATTTTCCTTTTGGTTTGATCCCTAAATATAGTTAAACGTTGAATTGTTTTGACCCTGCTAGCACAGGTGGACATGTCCCCACCAACTTTGGCCTGATTGGGACAGTCCCTACCAATAATTTCAATACATAGGCTTTGGCAATATGTGGGACAAATTTCTAAATTTGATTTTGCTGCTTTTGAAGGAGGATATTCACTAATGTAGCTGAAAGGGAAAACATTCAACACTCAATCCACATTTTTCTTGATGGCTTGATAGATGGATAAATGAAACGGAAATCGAGTAGATACTAGTGAGGCATGATATATTGCTGTTGGCATCGGAATTGGCTGTTACTTCCATTAATGTCTAACGACCTATAAATATCAGTGTATTTTGGTGCTTTTGTGATCTCAACAACAGGAAAGCATTCGATAAATATATGTTTGAGCTCATTTTTTGAAAACACAAACCCTATTAAAAGTGTTTGTGTCGAGTAACTGTAGGTCCATCAGCCCCCACCCTAAGATTGTCCCCACTAACTTTCATCACAAAGTTACACCCTTGCCTGCTAGCATCTGGTCATGGTGTATTTTGGTCCCTGCCTGACCAACCCTAAGAAAATGTTCTATCGCTGCAACTGATCCTGACTCCTTCTAAAGGTGTACTTCCATTTAAATGCACCATTAATATGAGTCTTAGCCACCAGGTAGAGCCCTAGGTGTCATTCCATTAGTCTGTATTTACTGCAGGGACACAGGGGGTCCGATTTATTTATTTTTTAACAAACATGCAGGATCTCTTTTTATCAACAAAAACAAATCATGCATTCTTTTTATTAAAATATATTTTATTTTTAGAGCACTCATGCCACCCATTGATATAATAGCACCCTAGGTAGTGAGCCATTAAAAGCCACCTAAACCCTGCAATTCACTGGCAGAGTTTAAATTGTATTCAGTGGAGTCAATTTAGAGCAAATTTTAAGTGGCTCAGAAAGACTTTTAAGTAGAAATCATAGTCTTAAAATCTTACCCATTCAAACAAATTAGTCTTCCTCAAATGAAAAATGTGTGCAATATTTAACTTTTAACTATATTCTCTTTTTTAACTGTAACTTCCATACACCTTAAAAAAATAAAACAAACATGCAGGACTCTTTTTAATAAACAAATCATACTTTTTTTTTTACATTAAAATACATCTGATTTTAGGAATGAGGAAATAAAGTGGAAGTTCGACATTTACTGTATATTTGACTTCTTGTAATAAAAACCAATAAAAAAAAAGATACAAATTATTTATTGCATGAATAAAACCACATACTCATTAATGTCACCGTATTTTTATTATTGTGTGGAGGTCATGGGTCAAAAACTTACAAAATCACTTTGAATCTTTTTTTTAATTATTATAAGGTGTCTACATTAAAAAGTGCTTGTGTTAATGTATTGTAGTGAAAAAAAAAAGTCAAACAACTCACCTGTTTTAAAAGTGATAAAATAAGTTAGCAATGAGAATTAATTAACAAGTTCACAAGAAAAAAAATAATAATCTAAACTCCTTTTTGAGTGTAGCGGGAAGCAGATTTTTATTTTGGGGAAAGAGAGAAAAAGGTCTGGGATTATAAGCAATTTATTTCAAACCACTCTCTTTCAGATATGTATTTTTGTATTTTTAATACCTTGGCACAGTGAATTTATGCATAAAATATGAATAAACTGACCCTTTTCCATTGCTACAGAATGACAACACAGCTTTACAGTCTGACATTTGTGCAGCTTAAAACTGGTTTGTGCTTAAAAACATCTCATCTTCCCAAAGAAAAATGTCACACAAAAATAAAAAAAGGGAATAATGAAATTGGTAAATACTTGAAGCAGCCGTTAGCCAATGTCAATAAAAATGTCTGTTTAGCATTGAATCTGTGAATGGATAGATTCAAAATTCCTGATTTCTTCTAAAACTTTTTAAAAAGATAAAAACAGTAAGAATAAAAACAACAAAAGTCTTTCTGAAAACAGCTAAAACCCCGACAGCCTGCCCTTTCTGGACTAAGCTAGCTTTAGCGTCAATAGCTTTCAGACATTCGAATGAGATGACTCTCTGCCATTATTGCATTTAAAATATTTCAATGGTTGTTTTACCTTCATTCATTTTAGTTTCTCCACAAATGAACAGTTTACTTGTTGATCAGATCAGTCTTTGAAATAAAAGACAGAGCATTCAATCAATGGCCATAATTTCTTTATTATCAACACAATCACATGTTTTCATTTCACATATAAATAACAAATGAGCAAAAGCTTTATTGTAAAATGACATTGCTCTATTTACATCTCTGACAGTTTGTGGCCAGGTGACATCAGGCGCGCACTCTCCGGTTCTGGTTTTGAGTGCAGGTCATCATTAGCTGGCCAACCTGAAAGTTGAGCCCTGACCCCCACTCGCACACCTCTGCACCGCGGAGCACAACTGAGGCTTAAAGGGCAAATATTTGACCTCCGCATCGATACTAAACAGGAATCCTTCAAGTGAGATATGGCCGTAAACCTAACAGAAATGTCTTTTTGTGCGTGTCAGCAGCCGTACAGAGAGGGAAGAAGCAGAGGGGAAGTGAAGGGGGAAAAAGCAAACAGATATTACAGCTAAACTGATAGTTTCAATGACTTCCCTTACACTGCCTGGGGCCCACCTTGGCGCCCCCTGAAGTGCCTCGTTAAGCACAGGAACATAGACTGAGTAACCCAGGGCACAACTCGGTATTGTGTTGGCTGGTTTGGTTTGCCCCACGGCCCATGCTTCCCCTCCCTCTCTTTTTAACCCCCCCATGGAGGCCCTTGCTGTGCTGTGCTGCAGCACATGAGCCCTCTGTGCTCCAAGTGATAGAGTCAAGCTGTTCCTGCTGAGCGAAGGTCAGGGTCCTTCAGTCAGCACCTCGGCCCTGAACAGAGCACACAGGAATCCCCCTCACTCCCCAGCCGGGGCTGGTACTCAGCTCTCTCTCCTCGGGCCGAGGCCCAAACAAACCTGGTAGCTTTCGTGCTCTCTTTTTTCATCTCTCCATCTCCTGACGGTCTGTCACTCCCCTCATCGGAATCATTAATCAGTCCGGGCAGATTAGACTTCAAATAAAAATAAACTCCAGCCTCCTCACAGGTTCTTCGATTTCTGCTGCTTACCGACAGTCCCCCGCCCCCTCCTTTCCCCATGTCTGCTTAATAAAGCCAAGATGCCTGAAACAGGCAGCAGGTTGAACGGTTGGCAAACTGAGGGGTCCATTAATGCTTTATTGATATAAACAAGTCACCTTATCTTTAAGGGTGATGACTCTTAAGGGCTAACCTGCCATCCATGTAAATATACAGCAGATAACCTTATCAGCCTGGCACCAATAAAGTCAGGCTGCTTTCCAGCTTCTTTTCTGGAGGCACGTATCACTAATAGGGATTAAAGGGATTAAATCTGCAACCTGAATACATTCAGGCTTATATTTTATACAGTGACTACTTCATCCTGTCTCCCATTGTTGGCTGGGAGAGCAGGAGAGAATCGGAGGGCAACAGTGCCGCCTTTGGGTGAGTTGAAGTAGAGCAGCTCTCAGAGGAGCACCATCATTAACAGGAGCTGTCGAACCCCTGGATGTGGAGTTCATACAGCACATATGAGTATATGTTTACCATGCTTATGGATGGAAAAAGGAATATAGGGGGGGAGGAAGGGGTCTGAGCCCCAAAACAAGATGGAGCTCCTGGTCCAGGCCTCTGCAGGCTGACCGATGGGAGCCCTGCTGACTGTGTGTGTCCATGGGAAATGGAGCGGTGTCGCTGCGGCGACGGCCCTGGGGCCATCCATCAGTGTCATGCTGGGGGGGGGGGGGGGGGGGGGGGGGGTGGTATGTGTCACCTCTAAGACTAATGGACAGGAAGTACAGCCAGAGAAACAACAATATTTGCAGAATGTATATTCAGAAGGAAATTTAGACCCATTTCACATTTCTTACTAAATTCTCACCAAAATCCTAAATATGCGTTTTAAACCTGATTGATGAGCTTTTTTAAAATGAAAAAGTTGCTCGTTTGGCTCTTTTCCTACAAAGCACATGTGTTTATACGGGATAAAAACAGTCCTGGTCATTAAATGGTTTTCAGCAAACAAAGATGACCGAAATCAGCCGATTTGAATCGACCCTGAGGGGCAGAAAAAAGTCCCAGTAAATACTGTTAAACTGGGAGATTTAAATGGAGAGATGAAAGCAGAGAGCAGGATGAACCCAGGTCCCCACCTAGAGACCCTGTGTGCTCAGGACGTTCAGAAACCGAGGGGCTTAACCTCAGCAGCCGGTGACTGTTGGGTCCAAACCGGAGCGCTTTGTAATATGGATCCTGACCACCTCCTCAGCACAGGTGGGGTGGATCCCTACCGTCTGCAGCAGGTGGGAATATGTTGCTCCACACCTAAAAAAATCAGACAAAAAACAAGCTGTTATTACTAGTTTTATTGAACAGCAAATTAGATTTATCAAACCTAGAATAAAGTTGACTCCATAAAGGCAAACACTTCCATAAGTATAATCAAAATAATCTGAGACACAAACACATTCGGAAATGTAAAGAAAGGAAGGTTAACGACATTAACGACAGAGCCAAATCCTTTACTGTAAAAAACAAAACAAACACTTGTTTATTTTAAAGATTCACAGCTGATTCACATTATCATTCACTTTTTCTGATTATCACAAATATATCAGGATTAAAATCCCATTCAGGATTAAAATCTTTAAAGTATCACATGAGTAAAAAGAAGCACAAAGAAGAAAACAGAAGATCAACAATGAAATATTCTGTAGAAATCAAACCAAATAACTTAAAACAATCTTCATCTTTCTAAAATAAGATCACGTTTATAATCCCTCAGTATCTTTTAAGTAAATAATAAAACAAACCAAAAGTTTAAACCATCTGTTTCATAGTTATTTTTTCCTTGTTGTCTTTGTAAATACTAAGTATTAAGATTTACATACAACTAATGGCATTCATAAAATTCTGGCTTCCTTATCAGAAAATAAATACATAAAAAAAAAAACGGATTATCTTTTGCATTTGGACTTTTATAACCAACCTCCTTCTGCTAAAAAACAAAGAACAAACTTTCAACACAGTAAATAGTGAAGAAAATTAACCTTTTAAAGCCCGATCCAAGAATAAAGCTAAACAGAAAATTACTTTTTTTTGGTTGGAATTCCTTATTTGGCCTGTTAACAAAATATGTAAAAAGAAAAGAGAAATGCATTTTTGATATTAATAATTTATTACTATGCGATAAGTCAAAATTATTTTTTTTGTAGTATTCTGCCTTCTGTTATCAGGTAAATCTGATTGTGTACAATAGGATTTTGAGCAAAGTTTTTACCATTAAATTATGCAAAAGGTGTCAGACGCAAAACATTTCAGAAACCGTATGTATCAAATATGATACATTTGGCATTACAGGGTTAAAATCTACTTTTTATGATTTCATGTTATTTATTCTTATATTTCCAAATAGATGTAAGATTAATCCAAAAAAACTTTACCTTACAGATAATCTTTCTATTAATACAGATCTTCCTCCAGGTTAATCACATCATGCTAATGTTATTTTAGGCCAGTTTTTCATCAAACCTCTGAAGTCTAACAATGTCTTTAATGTTGTTTCTAAAAAGATCTTATAAATATAAATACATTTCTTATAAATATCTTATAACCCTAAGTTTTTCTCTAAAAAAGCATGTAATCTGCTAATAGAACAATTAAAGATGTTGTTAATAAATAAATGTAACAGTTTAATTCCCAACAGCGATCTCTGTGGGACTTAATACTGAATGCCTCTGAGCTCAGATACATGTCTGATAAACTCTACATTAGTTTTCTGTTTGCTAAGTAACTCCTCAGGCTTTCATTGACAATATCTCTTATCTCATAATCCTGCAACTCCAAAAGTACAGTTAGGATAACTCAGATATTAAATAAAGAAAAAGAGAATCCAGACTTTAGTTCAACTTACTGCAAACTCATAGAGAAACCCTGTATAACCTCCCCGGCATTTGGACCAGTGAAATGTAGACCCAGAATCTTCTGATCACCTCCATTCTCACATATAACCTGAAATAATGAAAAAAAAAAAATCAAAGTATTAAATCAAAGTTATAGATGTTCAGTAGCGATTTTTACTTAAAACAAACGTTTAGCACATATGTCTGCCCCTTGTGTTTTATGTATTTTCCTGACTATTTTTAATATATAGATAGTATAAGTTGAATTTTCCTTTTAACCGGATCTTTACATTGTCATCAGGACAGCCTTTTGCAACACTCAATGACTCAAGATTGTAAAAAGGAAACAAATAAGACATGAAGAAACACTCCTCTGAGGTTTTCTTTATGATTTTGGAGTCGACTGCTGTCATTTTCTGCTCCAGCCCCCCCAAACATCTGTCCCTGAAACATTTGCAGGTGCATCGACGTGCTTTTTGTTTCCAAGAAGCTATGTCTAAAATGTTAAACTAAAAACTTGATGTGGAGGAGGAAGTGACAGCTGACGAATGATGACCAAAATCTGACACCTGATCTGTTTGGACCAAATCCTTTATATATTAATACACAACATTAAATCAGAAGGAAGCAAAATCTGAAAATAGAAACATTTAAAAAAAAATTCATTTTGGAAACAGTCTAAAGATTGTGGATCGTGGTGTCTTCTAATGGGGTTACCTTGATGTAACACTGGCTGGCATCCCGCTCTGCTACTGTGAATTCTAGTGGCTTGTAGAAGGCATGGAAAACCTAGAGACATAAAAAGCACATCGAACAAACAGGAAAAGTAACATTGAAACCATATTCAGTCTGCCAATGATTGCTTCACATTCCCTTCAAAATATGTTGTCGAGCATCAAAGAAAACTGGAGGAGGTTTCTGCAGGAACTTCCACTTGTGCACATTGTGAGCTGTCTTATCACTCTTTGAGGAATTCAATAGAAACTGAAATACTGAAAGTTTAAAACCAAACTGTAACTTTTAAGGGAACCCAAACGGATCAACGTGGAATTAAAGATGGAGAGGATTGTTTTAAGAGTAACCAAGCTGCTAAGCTTCGTTAGCCTCAATTCTTGCCCAAAAACATAAACATCCCAGTACTTCAAACCTCATGGAGATGTTGTGTGTACAGAGTTTTATCCTGCGAGCGAACGTGCCGACACAAGTTGTGAGGGCCGTGCAGCTGTCGGAGCGGGGGTGGGGGTGGGGGGGGTGGGGGGGGCTGCTCCTCCTTCAGATCTCAGCGCGCCTGTCATCGCCCCATACACACCTCAATCAGACCTCCTGCTTTCCTGCCACTCAAAGGCAGGAGTCCCAGCTCGCCAGCTCCATCATTTATCGTCAGCGCTCTGCAGGTGTTGCTAGCATCTGGCACATCGTGCACGCTCACTGGCAGGTAAAATAAAGAGCTACTTGCTGATTCATTGTGCACACTTATGGCGCTGTTTGTATAGCTGTGGTGCACTTAAACAAGCTCGATGAGGATAATAACCTTATGAATAAAACATATGAATAACGTACAAAGAGTCTGCCTGCTTGTAAAGTTAGAAAATATTCTAATAATAGTATAATAATGGTGCTATTTTTTTTTAGGCATTAAAAAAAGAAGTCATCCAGAAACATGTCGATTTATTAAGCGCTGAGCACATGGTTTTATACATAGGTTCATCCTTCACAGGCAGTAAAGTAACTTTGGTTTTTAGGCTTTTTAATCAATTTTTTTTCGCTCAACTTTTCCCAAATTCAACATTTGAATTTGGGAAAAGTTGAGCTCTCTTAAGTGCTTTATTCTTATATTTAAGTGTAAAATAGAACGTTTCCTGGGAATTAATAGCAGATAGTGCCATAGTAGGCAGGGTTAACAAACTAAAATGATTCCAATCCTGGCAGATTTAGGTTTGATCGATGTAAGCTTCGATTTTAAGCTTCGATTTTGGCTGTTTCTAAGGTTTCAGAGTTTCCCAACCAGGTTTAAAGGAGAGCAGAAGAAGAAAGAAGGAATGAAAGGAAAAATACAACAGCTCCTTCTGAATAGGGTAAACCATGAAGGCCTATTAAGCCAAAGAGGAAGCACTCTCTATGATAAATACATATCTGAATAATGTTGACTCCAAAGAAGGAGCTAGAATGTGAAAGCAGGATGCTTCCTAGTTATTATTCAGTTAGCATAGGAACCTTCTGATGTTCCTATCCACCACTAGGAGCTATTGAAACATCCTGACACACCTCACCTCAGAGTTTAACAAACATACTGTTATCATTTTGGGACTTGTAATGTGTGACACGTGCTAATGGAGTCACTTTAATATGTTTTTAGTTTTCAGCTGAGAGCTTCAGCAGTTCGCTAAATTCGTTTCATTTCTGTTTTGTTTTTTTCAGAAGCCTGCAGTCCCAATTTAACCAGCGTATTCATGTGTGTTTTCGTCATATAATGACATCCAAAAAAACTAAAGGCTGTCTGGATTAAGCAGAGCAGCCTGGCGCTCATTTCCTACCATAGATGGTGTTCCTACTGTTGACCCTGAGAAAACTGAAGAGATAGGAGCTAGGAACAGGAAGTAGGAGCCACAATTAGAGGTTTTCATAAGGACCCAAGAAAGAAACAGTAAGAGCAAGGATGGAAGGTAGGGAATAAGGAAGGATTAAACACAAAAATCTGTGTAAAGAACTAAATAAGACATTGGGAAGGAAATGAGAAATTAGACAAGGAAGGTAAGAAGGATAGAAGGTGGGATATAGGTAGGGTCAAAAGGAGAGGAGAAGAAAGGGAGGAAGAACTAAGGGAGTGAGGATGGAAGAAAGGACAAGGAAATAAGGAAGGAATGAAACAAACAGGAAAACCCTGAAAGAAAGGCTGTGTTAAGAAATAAATTCAGTTATAAAAACGCTTAAGAGCAGAAGTTTGGTCAAATGTATGCATACTCCCTCGGATTTACTTGGTTAATGAATTTTTGTCTCTGTAATAAGCTTAATATTTCATTTAATATAAAAAAAATCCAGTGTCCATGTGTTTAATATCACTTCTTGGACACCCAAGTGTTTATGTTTCATTCATCGGACCCAAACTGTCCCTGTTAGCAGCAACGAAGATGGTTAGAACCAATCTAGAAGCTGCTGGGACACTGATGTCAACGTCTACCTGGACTTTTTAAGGAGCAGCCACCTCGGTCATCAGCTGACAACTTTTTAAACACAATGCTGGACATTAAAGGAAACATGCTTAACAGTAGCTGCAAACTGACTGTATGTGTTCAACAATAAACAAAAGCCTCACTATCTTTAACAGTGAAGCTCACATTAGCTTAGCCCATATAAAGTTCCAAATTTAATATTAAATATAAAATACTTAGGAGCATTTTACTGTGGTCTGAACAGATTAATGATTTTTATTAAACTCTTTAAGAAAACAGCGTTTAGGATGGAGATGTTTTGCTGACAATAATAGCAGCAACTGGGAAGAAAACAGCAGAGGAGGGATTTCCTGAAAAGTATCACAGGCGGTTTAGTTTCTTTGACTGGTTCCAACCTCAAAGTGTATAAAGTCGACATGAGCGCAGAGAAACGGGTGCAGAGTAAAATTGTACAAGATGTATATAGTTGAGCCCTCTTCTATTTGGACTTGGGGAGATTTTTAAGCTTAATAAAATATGTTAGAAGCAGATTATTGAATCATTATCAAACCCTGAGAAAAATAACTTTTTAAAATGTCCAAACTGATGCAACATTCATGCCTATGATGAGAATACATCCAAATCATCAAGAGCTTCACTTATCAGTAGTGTAAAATAATTGCCACCATGGCTTTGTTAAGCTGCTGCCTGCCTTTGTAAGGCAGGAAAAAAAAAAAAATACAAAGCGAATCCAGTAGAACTTTTTATTGCCTACCTGGAATGGGTGACAATAGTTGAATAATCGTTTGGCTGGATCGGGGCCCCGCCCGTTACTGGTATCGGTGCAACACTACTTATTAGGTTGTTTTGTCAGAAAGGCCAGTTTAGAGATAAATTTGACCTGAACTGTATCAGAATAAAACATCCTACCTCTATCCCGTCCTTTCCGTGTCGCCTCTCAGCCTCCTCCTCTGATAAACCAACACAGCCGTACTCTAAAGGGGTAAACACGGTCGTAGCCACCTGTCAAACAGACAAGCGCATCTTACAAATTTAGAAAACAGAGAAAATATGATGAATTCATGCGTTTACACATGAAAATCAGCTTTAAGAGAAATTGCTTCTGCACCAACGTCAAAACAAACCTTTAATCTATTTGAGCACAACCACTGGAATAAAACCTTGCTGAAGGATTAGTGTGTATACTATGACTGATGAAGACTGAGCTCACAGACGAAAACGCTGCTACAATATGCTATGAATCATCCTGAGGAGAAGTTAGCTGCTAAATGGAGGGGAGTTTCAGATGAGAGACCAGCTATACATCAGCCTCAGCCATGGGCAGAAACCAGCACACATAAAAAGCCATGAGGTGTAGAGAGATGAAGGCATTTATTACTTTTAGTGTGTTTCTTACTTTGTCATAGTTCATGAGGTCGGTGCTCTGACCGGCCAGCCGGTGGGCAAGGAGCTTTCCCGCCTTAACGGCAGTAGGGGTCAACTCAGGACGACCCTGAAAGAAAAGGAGTTTGAGGTTGAGTTTGCTCCAATATGGCTTTAATATGGGAATTAAAAGTGACAAAAAGTCATAATATAGTCATAAATTTGATGATCGTGATCAAGGTAAACACTTTTATTATCCCAGATCCTGCATTTACACCCAATTTGCATTTGTTTGGTTTGTTGTTACTCATCAGAATTACAGCCACCAGCGTTTTATTCACTCTGCCTTTAACCCATGCAGTGGGCTGCTATGTGCAGTGTAAGGGTTAAGGGTCTTGCTCAGAGACTTAGAGTGAAGGCTGAGGGACTGGGTTTCAAACTCACAACCTCAGGATTCCAATGCCCTAAATTGTAGGCCGCCACTCCCCAAAGCAGGCATTAGCATGAGGGGACGACCCTGAAGGAAAAGGAGGGTCATGACATGTCCTTACGCCTAAGCTCATCCGCCCCAGCTTGGATATGAACCCAGGCTTCCTTTTTGCAGGACGGGTGCCTTATCACTTGAACTAGCCAGCCGGATAGCTGTATGTAACTTTATGAGCTATCGATAAGAACAGAGCATAAGACTGCTGCACCTTTCTAGCCGTGATGTTCTGTTTTCTTGGCCTGGATGCCATTCCGCACTTAGTCAGCCCACAACGTTTGAGGTCGGGAAGTTCGGTCTGGCATTGCTCAATAGTAGCGCGAGTATGCTCGCACAATATCTGGCGGGCCAATCAAATTGTCAGGGCGGGCTTTATACGATGATGGACAGATGATCAACAGTAATGTAATCAACCACGTCACCAAAGCGCGCTTGGGTGACAACAACAATGGCTGCCGCTGGAAAGTTGAGGTGTGTAGATTCTGCTATTATGTCTGTTCTAGAAGATATCAACAGCAAATTAATTTTAAAAGAGGAACAGAGAAACGCGATCAAGGCTCATCTTATTCTAGGCGTGCAACTGCACGCTTTGATTTTTGTTGACAACAACTATGCGTCGTTTAACATACGTCACGCACTCCGTTGCTCTTAGTGGTTGTAGGACTATCCAATTGAGTGCAGAGGCATTTTTTTTCCTGGTCCGTTCGAAACACGCCCCATAATCACAGCTCTATGGAGCAGCATCAGACTCATATTCTGACTAGAATTGAGTAGGACTACGTCAGGCTACTGTTTTCTGTCTTTGCAAGTAAATGTCCACAAAGGCAGTGGAACTGATGATTAGTTTACCTAAGATACTTCGGAGTCTGATCTAAAGGAGGTTTGTGAGTCTTTAAAACAGGTGCAAAAGTGTTTGTTCGTCAGCTTCTTTAAAGACGGCGCAAAGTGATCTGTGTTTGCAATTCAGCAGACAAACTGTGCAAACCTTTTTTTTGTGCAACTGCAGAGCATATTCTAATGAGTAAATTCCTGGGTGGGAGGTTTTCAAATAGAAACATTTACAGCATGCAAAGGGATTTTCCCCAAACTGAAACTCAGCTGCAGCAACAGTTTGTTTGTCTCGTTTAGCACGGTTGAAATTCAGGTGAAAACTTTAACAAATTTGAAGGCATTATTTTAACAAAAGAGAAATTGGTAGAAACCCAGAGGATGGAGAGAGATTCTGTGCACATGTTAACATATTTGACAACAGTGGAATAATAACCATAGAAAACGTTGGAAGACGATCTTGAACCAACATGAAATGATGACTAAAAATGAAATATTAAGGATTGGTCATGAAGTCCTTGGTTTTTTATGACACTCTTTGCTCTCAACTGAGGCCAGAAACCAAACAGTTTGATTTATACTGACATTAATGACACAGAATCAATTAGGTGATTCTGAGGCATTAGACTTATTTATTATTTATTTAGAGTAAATAAAATATTATTGGGTAAATGTAAGCCATATATCCACATCCAAGATGTAAAAATGGATGCAAACACGTCTTCATTTAAAAAAGCTTCGCCTCTGCGTGTTTTTCTCTATTGTTCTGGCTCCTCGCCAGCAGACAAACACATTGCCATGGAGACACACATCCAACTGAGGAGTTGAGGAAACAGTAGGGCTGCAGGCAAGTTTTAAAGACATGACTTCAACTTGTTAAATTACCAACACACATCCTGTTGTAAGCAAACATGGGTCCACGCCTCTGCATGTATGTGGATGTGTGCTCTGGCATTCCAGCGCCTGTTTGCCTGTTTACAAGTCAGACTGAATGCGTCACCATAATACATTTTTTGGTTACCAAAAAAAAAACTTGGCTCCAAAATGATTTGAACAGAATGAAAGTAGACAGACTTTACTTTAAGAGAAAAAAAAAAAAGTCTGTGTTGTGAAAAGCCAAAAGACAGATTGATGAGGAATACTCATCAAAGGGAGCCGTCAATCACATATCCAAGTATGTGTGTGTGCATGCGTGCGTGTGTGTGTGTGTGTGTGTGTGTGTGTGTGTTATGAGACCTGGAAGGCAGGAAGGAAGCTCACAGTTGGTTGTGGTAGAAAAAACAACACTGACATGCAGCAGGTTTAACTTGTAATAACACAGTGCCAGTTCCTGAGATGCACCCTCCTTTTGCAGGATCACATTATTCAGGTTCTGTCGTATCGTCAGCTTCTGCCCGAGTGATGACAAACCCAACTCACCTGGGTTTCAGCTCTTGTTTTTGTTTAATATGGCGCCGGGATGAAGGACAAAGACTTTTCTCTGAGTTTATTTTATCATTTTAAATTGTGTACAATAAAGCTATTTTTCTAAACCAACTTGATTTTGTTCAACAAGGTACTTTAAAGAAGCAGGAAGTTTGCTGCTAGATGGTGGGCTTTTGATTTAAAAGACACCAAAATACAATTGTAGGAAGATTAGCAGGTTTTAAGACAGACTGAACACTAAAATGCATTTAGAACAAATACTGACTGCCTTAAAAATGTTTATTTTTATGCTGTCTCATGTGCAAACTATTGGCAAGTTGCTGCATTTCCTGCTGAAAACAAACCAAAAGCAGAGATTTACCGAGAGGTTTTATGGCTAATGCACATGAAGATTATTTCGAAATTGGCCTGACTGATCCCTGTAAGCTGCAGATTTTTTGAGGCGGGGGCTGATTCTTTAGAAGGATTTTGCTTTCTCTTCCCAATTTACATGGTAAATATGACACTGTAATGACCAAAGCAATGAGTCAAAATAAAAAAATAAAAAGAATCCTTTACAACTTTAACAAATCTTTCTTGTTTTAATATATCAAAGACAATATATTAACAATAGAGAGTAAATAGACGTGGAATCGACCAACACTGATACGTGAAAAAACGGCCAGATTATCGGCCAAACTTTAACCCGAAACATGAAGGTTCAGCCATGCTTGTGGAGGGGGAGAACGTTTATTTTCTCATTTTGTCACAGAAAAGTTATTAATTAGGTCTCATCTGAGCAGATTTAACTTTTCTTCCAGGTTAGCTGTTTCTTCTACATGGCCGGAGGCGCATACCTTTGAATGCTGTTGCCGCTGCTCCATAAAGGGCATGAATAATAGCTGTTATGGCAATAGACTGAGCTGTGGGTTTCTGCAAAGAACACTTATTAGATTTGATCTGTAATATAAAACTACTGAAAATGTTTTTTTTTTAAATGATCAAAGTTTGGTAATAAATACTTGGATACCTCTGTAAATATATAATACAGTATAGGGGAAAAAAACAGTAACTAAAATAAACCTGAAATTATTATTTTGTCTTTAAGAACACAGACATCTGGGCCTCATGTTTAAAGCATGAAAAACCTTCCCAGCTTCCTGGATGGGCGTGGCCATCTGTAGGAACTTGTTGTGTTTTTGTAGTTAAAATTAAAACCAGTAATTATAGAATGATTCTCAGGCGTCGATCGTTATCAGGAGCGTTCCCGCCGTCAGCCCCATACCTACCTCACTGATGTCACCCAAAGCGTAGACGTTTGGCAACGAGGTAGATTCGTCAGGCCCAACCACTATCTTCCCTGTCTGCGTGTTGAGCTCCACGCCCAGCTTGTCGAGGCCAAGGGCTTTGGTTTCAGGTGCTCTTCCTGAGGAGAAACCAATGAAGGGGAACATTTATCAGGAAGGGGAGCAGCAGGAAGCGTGTTAGTGACTCGGAAGCCCCGGTTACATCAGGAACATCTTATCATTAATACAAAGTACATTAAAGATTCAACAAAGATGCTGAATTCTAGGTCAATAAGGATTGTTTATGTGCAACAAGAGAACAACATCTGGCCAGATGAGGAGGGGAGCTGAAGAGGAAGGGGCAGCTGAGGAGCAGCTGTGATGGGAATCCAACAGACCCCATGGGACACCTAGAGGTGCAAATTCTGACACCTTCTGGGCAGATGACTGACTGATGCTGTCGACAGCAGGTCACCATGGCGATGGAGCTTGGACCATATGCTCCACCCTCTAGAACACAGACCCTCACAACCTGCCTGGGCAGCATAATAAACAGCCAGGGCTGAGGAACCCATGTAGATGCTATCGGACAGCAAAAATAACAAACCCCTTAGACCCTTCTTCCTGGCTGGAGCCGAAGAACAACGACACCCCCCCTCCTTCTTAGACCTGGAGGGGGGGCTGCTTCAGGGAACTGTCTAGCTCTCTACAACGTGTGCGGGTGAATGAGACAGAACACACATAGAGAGCAGAGAGGAGAGAGAGGAAGTCCGCCAGTCAGGACCAAATCCCTGAGGCTGAACCTCAAAATATTTTCCTGTCTTGTAAGAACAAAACACAGCAATGAATGGCATCCTTCAACTGCCGAGGTACTATTGAATATGGAGTGACTAAAAGTTATGAAAATGCATTTTTCTGATGCCCTCCATGCTCTGCATGTACGCCTGATGACGACGATGGCTTGAATTAGACCTTTACATTGGCTGGCTAGCTAACAGAGACCTTTTTTTTTAAAATAGTCTTGATTAGGGTTGGACAATTGATTGCATGTGCAATATAATTGCAATAAAAGAATATATACAAACACGAAGACAATTTACAAGTCACAGAGGCACTGTATATTTGGTGATGTTACATTAAACCAGGTGGCAGTAATATGCTGAAATTCAATTTGCCGCCACATAGGAGGGGAGCGAAAGTTGCAGCTAGTGCACAGATCAATTAAATTTTAAATTTCAATTCAGTTTATTTATATAGCGCCAAATTCACAACACATGTCATCTCAAGGCACTTTACAGTTCAACCAGATCATTTCACATCAATGCATGTGAGTAAGAAGTTTGCACTTTTCCAAGCAACAACTAAGTCCTCTGCCAACAGACTTTGGACAAGAGAGCGATCAAGAGCATGAAGATAATGAAACCCAGGAAACAACTGGTATGATTACAGAGAAGAAAAAAAAAAGGAAAAAAAAAATTAGCAAATTTGGTGTTTTGTTTTAGCAAAAATCCACACCCCCCTCCTTCAAAATAAAGCATTTAACATGTGTTCTAACGTCATGTTTCAAATGTCATATTTTAATTTTAAAAATAAGCCCTGAAACAATTTATGGCATTAATCCTAATTGATAAATAATTGAATCTTTCTCACCTAATTTTGCAAACATTTCAATCATTGTCTTGAGACAGAAGATCAGAAGACACATTATATAAAATTTAAAGCTTTAAATCTTGATTTATGGATAAAAAATCCACATATGAACATATACTTTCAACATTTATTGCTATTTGAAATGCATCTAAAATATGCAAGGAAGGCTTGCGTTCTCCTTTCCAAATGTGTGTTGATGTAGAATTTTTATTTACTTAAAATATTTCTGGATTATAGTAATATGTCCACAAAAAAAAGAACAATAGATTAACTTAATCTATAGCTGCATGCCCACCTAAAATATACTAAGATCTTTTCAGTGTTTTCCACTATGGAGGGAAGGCCTCTATCGTTTATTTATATAATGGGCTTAAAGCCCATTATAAGAGGAAGCATCCTTCTCACTGGCACTTTGAATGATTGAATAAATTAACTTTATCTTAAATCCATTAAAATATTACAAATGAAACACATGCAAACATCTACATAAGTATTGACAGATATAATTTACTGCTCATGTCTAAAAAAGGGTGTGAAGAGGTGAAATGTATTCATTCATTCCCTTCACCTTCCATAAGTCCATTATATCAACCAACTTCCAACTTCCATTTAATTTATGAGTAAATACTACTTCTAAATTCCATAGAGTTTTATTTTAACATTGATATACATAAAAAGCTAATTCCTCTTAAAAATATATATTTAAAAGAAACTTTTAATTCTCTGAAAGGACTACTGATTATTTAATCATTATGTGAGGAAAAAATAACTGAAAATGGTAGTAATAACATAATAATAAAGTGATCATATAGCATTTATCAGGCTGTATAGCTGTTGAAAGGATGGTTGTATACATTTTGGTGATTTATTTTGGGTGTGAGATCAAGGCTTTATTAATATTAAGCTGCAACCAAGCTTGAACTTTCACCCCTCCTTTAAAATAGTGATACCACTTGAGCATTACTCATTGAAGTACCAGTAATGCTGCCAGCTCAGCCCTGAGGGACAACAGCAGGCGAGGCGGTTGGCTGGTAACAGACCTGGCATGAGTATTGATGCAGTCACCCAACCGACCAAGTCTGAACAAAGCCTGTTGTGACATTAGGAGGAAGCTAAAGAGCCACAACAAACGTCTACGAGAGCTGGAACCTTATCTGATCGAGCTAACGAACGCCGACAAAAAGGAGAGCAATGTGACGGCAGCTTGTTTTTGTTGGCGTGGAACGGATCGCGCACGCCGCCACAAGTCACCGTGATGCCGTGTTTCATTTCAAGCCAAAAAAGATTTTACCAAGCAAGCTGATAAAGGGCTATGGAGAGAAAAATGTAGCATCTATGGACTTTAATCTGTATCAGGGAAAAGGGAGTAGTCCTTTAATTAAGGAAAAGAAAAGTCTTTGTAGAAAGTTAAGTCGGCTGGAAGAGACGACCTCAGATGGTCCAGTTTTAATGGAGCCAGAACTATTATCACATAAACAAATCAAAACTTTCTTTAGAAATCCCAAATTTCTTGTTCAGCTCTAATAAAAAGGAACAATAATATTTAGTGCAGGAAAAAATAATCACAACATTCTGTAACAGGCTTTTCCCTCCCTCACTAGATAAGAACAAAAATCTATATACTTAAATATTAATTTAAATATCACCAAAAGCATAGAATTAAATCTACTCTAATTATAACCTGGTTTTCAGGGCCTTTTTTATGTTTTTTGTAGTTTCATGTCACAATTATCTTGACTCGGATGCATAGGGGATGGAGTTTTTTTCTATCTTTTTTAAACATAAATGCTGCAATAATGTACGCTTCTCCATCCAAATGTAATCATCCAATTTATGACTGTTCAGTGCATTTTGTGCAAATTGAAACTCATTTTAAACACTTAAAAATAGCTAATGCTGTACCTCCAACTCAACTGTGAGCTCAAACAGATAAGGGATAAAAAAACTGGAGCAGAAATTAATCTCTAAAAAAAGAGAAAAAGAAAATCTGTGGTAAAACAGATGAAATCTGTGATTGGAAAAAATCTGAACATTTGAAAAGTTGAACTCATTTAAATGGAACAAATAATCGTTAAACAATTTTATAAAGATAAAACAAAAATCAGGGGAAGTTGTTTTGACCAACTATATTTAAAGGTAAAGAAAGATCTTGAATGTGGAACCTTAATGTCAAATTGAATAGAAAATATGTAACCTAAAAAATATACATCCGAGTAATCTTAGATAAATCAGAAAATAAATGACTAAATAGGATTTCTTTGGAAGAGAGACAAAGGGTGGTTAAATACCTCCCACTACAGCAATAACAGCAAAGACTGAGAGGTTAAACTCATAAATTGGAAAATATCTACAATACAATAATAATCTAGAAATAAGTGATAAAAACAAACTAGAAAAACAACAACAAAAAAACAAAAAAAACAAATCCAAACACAAAGTTGGTTATCATTCAATAAACCCTTTATACCAAATAGCTTTGACCCAAAATTAAAAATCTGGATAACGAAAAGGTATACATACATTTTTTTTATGTTGTAAGATAATCAAATTGAAAGCTTTAACATATAACAACTTTTTAATAAATAAAGAACATTTCTATAGGTCTCTAAAATAAATACGGTAACTAATATAATCAGGAATTCAACATATATATGATTGAACTAATCATAAGAGCTTATGAATCAAATCTTAACAGAGGAATAACACCTAAAATCTACAAGTTAATTATCAACTTTAATATTAACTTAACATGGTAAGTCAAAGATGACGAGTAGGGACAGATGTGCATATAAACATAGAGGAAAACAAAATCATAGAGTTGAAGATAAATTTTGTTTGAAATTGTTACTTTATAACCCATGTGTCAAAGTAAAACTTTTCATGATACTTGGTCATAGCTGGAGGCCTATGGATCAGAATGTGCATCACTATCATGTATTCTGGGCTTTTCCAATAATAACTGTTTCAGAATGGACTTAGAAGACGGCCAACATTCAATAAAAAAAAATTACATTGACTGATAATTTAGAGAAAATATCTTTTTTAAACATTAGAAAACTGAGAAATGTATGTCAAAAAATATATGCTGGAGGTAAACGATACAATGTACCTGAAAGAAAAGGAATATATAAACAGAAAGGATGCAAACACGGATTCAAAGTCTGTTTTATTCATGTTTTTTAACCCTTCTCCTGGACTCAGACTTTTTTTTATTTGAAAATCCTCTTTTCAAAGGAAAGCTACCATTGTTATTTTTCCACTATGACTGTTCTACATACTAAGAAAGAGACGCAGAATTAAGTGAAAGGAAATTGTACGGCCAAACATGTTAGCGAGATGAAGTAAAGCAGAATTAGTCAGGGATGTTCTAGAAGTGGAGCTTTAGCCCATATCGTTTCATTGTGACTGACTGCATTCTGGACAGAGTCCCAGGAGGCCATTTGAGAAGCTTTAGGAACTTCCACATAAACCTAATCTTTTGAGGAAGTTGCCGCTTGAATGAAAGCAGAGAGGCAAAAACTCTTTAAAAATAAGGAAATGTTTTTAATGACATCCTTTGAAAGAGTAGAGGGCAGCGGGGGAGGAGACTAATAAGTCCACCATCATTACGCAGACAGGAAGCTTAAAATGTTCTGTTTCCTGCCGTGTTTGTGTGGCCACACCTGCACGAGGGAGCGGCCATGAGGTCAGGAAGGAGCAGGGGAAAGGTGGAGGGAGCGCAGCCATTGAGAAGGATGTGGTAGACAGTGCTGATACTGTCCCCTGCTCCCCTCTGGCCTTTAATAACTCCGCAGAGGACCGGGACCCCTGCCTGGCTCCTCCATGGAGGCCACAGCGAAGGGAAGTGGCCTTGTGCTCATAACTCCTGCATGTGCAGATCAAAGGGGCCGCATTGTTGCCGGTTCTCACTGAACCGTATGGGAACCAAACCTCGCCTTTACATACATGTTGCCGTCACAAGGTCTGAGAGTTTCATCGAGACAGAGGAAGCTAGGATGACAAATTCTGTTCAGTCAAAGGGAAGATGTGGAAAGGTAACCTTTACCAGCGTAAATGAAAAATGTTAAATTAACTAAACTTGGTTATCAAACAAGGATATATTCAGCTTAACCGATTGAAAGCAACAATTCTGACTTTTTATAACTAGCTAACCAACTATACCCACCAATGTGCTGCGTTACAGACTGAAGAAGCCTGAATTAACTCGTTCCAGCAACAGTGAGGTGTTTCTAGAACAGATCAGTAGGAACAGAACGGGAAGCTGACCATGTTTGCCAAAATAGTTCAGTTTCTTCCTTCTGATAAAAAGTTAAAGTTGATTGATGATGCTGAATTCAGAAATAATGGAAATATTGAGTTTGGTCACAGTTCTTTTTGTTCTCATTGTGTAAATACCTTAATATTAGTAACTTAGAAGTTTGTCAGATCAAAAGTACCATTTGAATTGACAAACTTTAAAAAGGAATTGATCTTTCTGAATTGAAAAAATTTTTTTTTATTGTCTTCGGATCCTTAATGAGTTTTCATAACCTGCAAATAGAAATCATCAGAATGAACAATGGGCGGTTCTAAACAGTTGCCAAAAGGGGCCAGTGCCCCTGCAGAACAGGCCCTGGCCCATTTATTGAAAACATTTTATGTATTTTCAATTGGTAAGTGAGAGAATTTAGAAATAATATATATGTCACGTAATGCATGATAAAGATAAAACAACAACTCCATTATCATATTTATTAATATAATATTTATTAATATTAAAGGGCATCTTATCTGATTATCCTTTTAGAAGGGCAAAAAATACTCTGCCCTTTATCAAATTATCTAGATCAGTCATTGCAGTTTAATACTAAATCTACTTCTTATGATGACAGTGGCCAACAGAAGAGACCCTGACTGTTTGTCTAATAGAACAATTTAATATTTAGCACTTACAATTTACGCCAACACTGATTTATAATTTACAGTAAGCATTCATTTCTCTGATCACATTTTTTATCTGTTAGATCAAGGTCTGCAACATTGGCTTTGTGGCTCACTAAATATACCAAACAATGAGCTCTTGCCCTGTTTTTGTTTATTCCTGTATGTTTAGTATTATTTTCCTCTGTGCCCCTATGAAAAAAAAAAAAAAAAAAAAAAACACTGACCCCACTGGTAAATTTAGTCTATTCAATTCAGTTTCAATTCAGTTTATTTCTATAGTACCAATTTACAACACATGTCATCTCAAGGCACTTTACAGTCCACCAGATCCTACAGTCAAACTGATTCAAAGTTTTCTATCAAAGGAAAACCAGTTGATTGCATCAACTCATTGACTAATACAATCCCTCACACTAAGCATGCTTGTAGCGACAGTAGAGAGGAAAAACTCCCTTTTAACAGGAAGAACCTCCAGCAGAACCAGACCCAGTGTGAACGGCCATCTGTCGAGGCCGACTGGCAATGAACAGAAATAGGTGTGAAATTAATGTATATAATGTGATTAACTCAGTGAATTTAGTTACAATTCATAAATAAGCATTATTAACTTTTCCAATTTATGATATCAGCTGTGTGAAATAATTGTTGTGAAATAATGATCTACTGCTTATAGTGCAGAGCTGTAACTCGGGATGGGTGGCATAAACGCAACTCATCACTTAAACATGAACTGATCCAGAGAGAAGAGATTGACCGTTCATCTCAACATCAGCCTAACTGATCCCTGATGTGTTCCAAATATTTTTGGCTATATTCTTAGAGTCAATGTTAGTTTTTCTTCCTCTATTTAAGTGATAAAAATGATACAGTGATAACAAATCTTACACAACTCATAATAAAAATTTAAAAAATCAATAATTGAAACAACATATGGACAGTTTATAGCAAATAGAGGGAGCAGCAATACATGTGCTTCACATGTTGTCAATGAGCTGATAATTTGGCTTATGGATGAGCGGAGCGTCCGTTATCAATGTAATTAAAAAAATTCCAATGATGGCCAAAAATGTCAGACAGCCATGTATCGGTCTATCTCTACCGGAGAGCGTGTAATAGTGTTGTGCGAGTCTAAACTCTTCAAGCAGAAACAAATTCAACTGGTAACAGCAGGTCAAAGTTTTACACCATCTATAGACAGAAAGATGTCTAATGACTCCAACAACTGTTGATTTTTTTTTTATATTTCTAGTAGCTGCCACAAAAGAAACATTATTTATGGATCCTGGGAGTATGCGGTTCTGCAGCATTTCACAGAAATCCTTGTGTTTCTCTCTGCTGAAACCCAATGTGGGATGTAGCCACAACCGGGAAGAAGAACCGTCTCAGTAGCCTGTAGAATCGTAGCTCCTTTCACACATACTGAGCAAGGATTCCCATCAACCATCCCTTCCAGCCTGCTATAAAATAAAGCCTTACAGTCAGGTTTTCTCGGAAATGGGTTCAATAAAAAAATAGACCGACTGACAGATGTTCCTTCCATTGTGAATCATTCGGCTGATGGAAAAGAAGAAATAACAGAAAACTAACAGATGAGAGAGGAAGATGGTTGCAGGCACAGCGGGCAATGACAGATGCAAGGCCGGTTTCCGCGGCGCTGGCACGGGCAGGAAGAAGAACAAAGAGGGGAACGCGGTGACCCACGCCTGGGTGCATCCTGCTCCGTCCTGCCCTGCTCCAACCGGGGAGCCGGCAGTAAGTGACCAACACTTCCCCTGCCTATTCCCATCACTCAGGCTTTATTACTTTGTTTTCAGGCTTGATTCAACCAGTACCTGCTAACACAGCAATTTTTTAAAAGGGATGACAAAGAACCTATTGGAAAGGACCACAGAGTCACTCCAATCTTCTATTTCAGAAGTACCTGACAGACTTCTCCACATTTAATGGAGATTTTATTGAACGAAACTGCACAAAGCGAGGTGTATTAATACGGCTGAAGAAAAATGTATGTTTTTCTTATGGTTGTTAGCAGAAATCTGACACCTCTGCATTCGTAATCAGCCCTCTTTAATCCAATACCTATAAATTAAATCTAGATGAACCAACTTTTAATGTTTCTAAAAGCAAACAGACTCACCTTTTTTCCAACTAAGTGGAGAAAAGCTGTTCAGTGAAGGTCTGATTTTCAGAAAAGACCACAATTAATATGAAATGAGAATTTGTGTCTTTATGAAGGAGTCACAGAAAGAAAACTGTCCTGTTTAAAGCTGGTAGAGAAACAGATGAGGCAGCGGGAGCTCAGATCAGGTGATGAAAACCAAATTGTTTGAACTTCAGGGAAACATTTTGTGTGGCCTCAGACTAACAGAATCCCCTAACTGAAACATGGTGGTGGAAGCATCATGCCTTGGGGACGCTTTTCTTCAGCAGGAAGAGCTGAGTGGAAGTGAAGGGCATACGGATGGAGGTGAACAGAGGGAACTCCTGGAAGATGCTAGACTGGGGCAGAACCGCATATTTCTACAGGACAAAAATGCTAAACAGTCAGAGCCACAAAGAAACAGGGGTGAAACAATTAAATGATTATTTATATCATTTGATAATTGAATAATTACAGAGAATAATTGTACATAAACTCTAAAACCTGCCATTTGCAGAAAGAATAACCTTCCTGCAGCAGTAATTAAGAAAAAATATAAACTTTTTCAGTTGAAGATAAAAAATCTTCATGCCTTAATGAGCGTAATGGACTGGATTAATTTAATTAGGAGATATAAAGTTGCGCGTGTCGCCGGCATACATATGCTAAGAGATGATATTGTTTTTAATCTGTGGTCCGAGAATGAACCCCTGAGGAACCCCCCCAATCAATTTGACTCTGCCAAGATGTATAAATTTATTTAAATACGCAATGAAAGTTTTGTTTTTTATATCCCAAATGTTCATTCAGGAAGAATTATTTTACAGAAAGGGTTTCTCTAGATTATTAAAAATAATCTTTATAGATTAATTCATTAGAAAAATAACTGACAGGCGCAGAACTACAAGGATTTGATTAGGAACTTTCCACATACATTATTGGTCTAATCAAAGCCACATCGCAGAGGCCCCCAAAGATCAAATTCTCACGTTAAAAAATTATTATTAACTTTGTCAGTGTTGGGCATAGATTGTCAGGGAACAATTCAGTGTTTTTAATATAAAAACTTAGTTTTCACTTTAAAATAGAAGCCTAACACCAAAAGAAGAAGAACTCACCCACTGCCCATAACACAGAGTCATAGGTGTCTTTGTGCTCCCTGCCGGTCTCTGTGTCCTTCCATGTCACCTGCAGGGCCCCTGAGGAGAGCTTATCCACGCTTTTCGGCAAAGATCTCCAAATAAATTTGGTACCATAAGCCTCCATATAATCTGTTACAAGACCTGCCATTTGCTGTGCAAAAAAAAAACAAAAAACAGTATAAACCAAACAAAAACATCACTTAACATCTTCGGATAGTGTAGACTTGAGACATACCTGATCGAAACCACGAAGGGCGATGCTACGAACCATCACAGTGGCGTCCAGGCCGATGCCTGTTAGGAAGCCGGCACACTCCAGGGCAACATCTGCATTAAGCCAGGCTAAGGATATCAGCAGAGTCTTTGGTTTTGATTTGAAAATAAATGTTTAAAATGATCACATTTAAATATACTGGGAGAAATTAGAACATGTTTGCTTTTGCATAGAAAAGATCAACCAATCAGTTCCAGGAACCCTAATCCCGACCTTAACCTGTTATGTATACAGTTGTAACAAAAGGCACATTTAGGCCTGTTTAAAGTTTGCCAGCAAACATCTAGAACCTCAGAGGGAAGCTCTAAACAAGCGCTGTGGTTAGTTTGGGCCGAGAAGAGGCTCCAGCCAAAAGAGAAGATTCAGAGTTTCTAAACAGAGAGAATCAAAGTCCTAAAAAAAAACCTCTAACTCCACTACAACTATATCAACAGCTGAACAGAGAAAAGTCAACAGCATTAAATTAAATATTGCAATTTAATAAGCTAAGATCAAATTTAAGTTGCTTCAAAGTGCAATTACTTTAAGTTAAGCTGTTTGTTCTACTGTCAGCAATGCTATAAACAAATTAATACAAAAAAACTTAATTTATAAACTAGGGTTGTCACGATACTAAACTTTTCAACTTGATACCGATACTAAGGAAAATATTCAATACTCGATACCATTTTTGATACCACAAGGATAAAAACAAAGACTCCAAAATTCTACAGAAATATTTTCATAAATAAAATACAATAAATAAATACAATAAACAATAAGAACAATATTTTGAGGTTGTATGCTGTGCACAATATTAAGCAAGCTTGATAAAAAACTAGTGTCATTGCTTTGCACACATAGCAATGACACTAGCCAAACTGGTTAAGAAACAAAAATAAAAATAATTCTCAGCAGCTGCACCTCTTACAAAAAAAAAGTCTGAAACTGAAAAGTGCACAGAATTATTCAATCATACAGTGTTCTGAAAGTGCATTTTCCTCTATTCTGCACTTTAGATGAATGACTGCTTAGGTGCCACTGATGGTGGCACTGTATCGATACTTTTAAAAACGAGTATTGTATCCGGATACGTTTCAGTATCGATACTTTTTTGAGTATCGATACTTTTGACAACCCTATTATAAACTCTACCAGCCCAGGAGGCACGTAGGATTCATTCCATTAATGAATCGGCCAACACGCTTGTATCAGCCGATACAATATATACACAAATATACGAAAAAACAAAAACAACCAGCCGACATATTGGGCCATCTCTAGTTTCTATATTACTCATTTTATGTGATTAATATTAGTCTTCATTTAATCTCTACTGCTTATTTTGATCTTCAGTTGGTGAAATAATAATGACACAGAGAACCAAAGTCCTACCATATTTTTTCTCCATGGGGTTGTAACCATGAAACATAGAAATTAATTGAATTTTCTTTGTTCAACTTTTGATATAGCTGTAGTGGGTTCAGAGATTGGCGGGTGCAAAAACATAATCAAAAGAAGGAACCCGCAAAAAAACTCTGGGTGCATTCAGCAGTAATGCATCGTAATCATAAATGTCATGCATTGGTGCTCTACCCATTGGCTATCTATTGTCCATGTTCAATTTGTTACTAAATGTGTTTACCGTATGTTGTCTAAAATTGTTCAGTATTTATCATTTAATCATTTTATCATGTGAATAGAGGCAAAAAAGCACCATTAGCTCTAAGAATCAGCCAAATAACATCAGAAGTATGTATCAGAGCTTAAAAGGATTAATTGGTATCAGCCTTAATAACAATAGATCTATTAGTAGTTAAGATTAATAATTTGTTGTAGTAATCCTTGTATTTATTTTATCTTAATGACACTATGATCAACATTTCTGTTGAAGACTGGCAGCGTTACCCAGGGGCAGAGGAAGGATACAGCTGGCTCCAACCACCAGTCTGAAACACAAAAACAGAGCTATTAGAAAGAACACAAACACAACAAGATACATTTCAGTCCTCCTTGGTGCACTTTAGCCAAATAAAACAACATTAACCCCAACTTGCATCTGTCTTCATCCAAATCCTGGAGTTAGAGAAGTGATGAATTAACAAGGCGTCCTAAACCTAAAGGTGTGAAGGACATGTTAGACAGCCAAACCTACAGGCTGACGTGTGTGGTCTGGGTGAATCACTCCTATAATCCAGCAGAATCATCTGCGGTGCTCAGGAAGCCTAATTTGGAGCATTTTAGCCTGATCCCTGCAGATGACATGTGTCATGTTTAGGGCTTAAATCCTCACATAAGCCTGCTGAGTGAAGTCCGTCACCTGCATGGGTTTTCTCACTTTGCTCTTAAGCACCTAACCAGACTCCCCTTTCCTTTCTGGCCCTGTCCATGTTAACTCCAGCCACTGAAAGCTCTGACCCCGGCTTTCTCCATGTCTGCTTCACTTAGCATGGACTGAGAAGAGGCTCAACAAAAGGACCAGACAAAGAGCTTTGATTTTCTGTCATCGCAGAGAAAAGTCTCACTCAACCAGCTCTTTTTTTAGTTTCTCAGACCAGTACATCTGCAACACTCACCTCTCTGCTAGAATTTATAGTCTATAGAGGGATGTGGAGATATTTATTCAGGAATTCGTTAAAAATCTGTATGTTTGCAGCCAATTAAAGGGAGGCAGTCAGGATAGGATCGTCCAAAAGTGGAGACACTGTAAAACTGTCTGGGTTTGCAGAGTGACTGATTCTCGCTGAAGACGGATGAGTCCCAGCTCTGGTCAACCTTGGGCAGCTTTTCAAACAGCCCCGTCACTGATAAGCTCTGCAATATGAGATTCTAATGTATCCATCAGCAAAGAAGGGCGACATTGTTGCTTTAGCCTGAGGCTAGCCCAAGGTCAAACTGCTTTTTATTCCACTGATGAAACGTTTTTCATTTTTTCCCCTATTTTTGGTGTGAAATTAGCATAGATGGAGTGTAAAACGCAAGGAAACCAAACTAAAACGTGACACAAAGTTTGTTTCCATTTTCTTGTCTTCTTAATCAATGTTTATTGTCAGAAATTATCCATAAAAATATTCGTCCTTGATTGACTGGACAAGGGAAGAAAATAGGATTTAAAAACAAGATATATAAAAATAAATAAACAAAATTATTTTTCTAATTATTGTACGCATTAAACCAACCAATCAAAATATTGTCTAACAGCTGAGTTTAAAATGTAAAATGAGGTCTAGAGAGAAATAGTTTGACACTTTAATGCGGATAAAGCAGGTTTTCAGTTTTGTTCTGGATTTAAAAAGATCTGGAGCAAAAACCTGGTGTGCCTTTTTTTAATGTCCTATTATAGAAAACAACTAGGATCAGTTAATATCTAATTCTGCCATTCAGAATTATTTACTTTAGTTTTTTTCTTTTTCAGAATTTCACATTTTACTTTTTTTCATAGCACTGTGATTTATTTATTTATTTAAAAGGGACAGCAAGTATTAATGAACAGCAGGAGCTGTAAATACACTTGGATTTAGCACAAGGCTAGTTTCCATCCATAGTCCCGTAGGATCGGGGCAGCAGGAAAAACCAGAAACATATGGTACCATATGTAACATTTGTAACAAGAAATATGGCCCAAAGATAAAATGCATGCATGTAACAAGGACAAAAGACACAAAAAAATCAGATATGACACAACAGACAGTGAAAGGGACTGGACTTTGGATATTGAGGTAAAGAATGCTAAATTGCTTTGCTACTAAGGTGTATTGCAGAGGTCATGGATTGGCGGACCGTGGTCCAGATCCGGAGCCAACCTGATTTATAACATTTATAAACCGCATCATGTGCGATGGCAATGTCTAATTTCACTTGTGCCGCTTCTGTTAATATGGTAAAGCCCTCGGAGCAAACCTGTGGAAAGCCAGGTGATGGGAAAGAAGGAGAAGACGAGAAAAAGTGAAGGAAATTGTGGACTGCTGGAAGAAATTAGGTGAACTGGTGACAGAAAAGTGAAATGTTGTGCTTAGAGATGACCCTGCACATTTTGATTATGTTTGACTCAACCTGCTGCTGTGAAGCAGGATTCTCCACCATGAACATAATCAAAAATAAATATTGATCCAGGCTCAAAATCAACACCTTGATATGTGCTTTAGAATGGCTTTGTCTCCAATCAAACCCAGGTTTAAAGCCTTGCAGGGCAGCCTAAACCACACTGCTCTCATTAAGCTATAAAAAAGAAAGGAAAAAAAACACGATCAGTTCAGGTGTTTAATAAAATATGTGGAGCAAGAACTTGTCTATATACCAAACTAAACGATTGTTGTTTTCTACTTAAAAAAAAAAATTCAATTTATAACATGGATGCATAAACACCTCGTTTAATTTCAGTGTTAAATTCTGTTTAAAGTGACAGATTATTATTAAAAATATCTCTGGACCTTTACTGTTATTGATTTTCTTTATTCAGACCCCACTGATTTTTTATTGGTTACCCCTGGTTTATTGTATTAAATGAGGTAGTTACTGCTAAGTGCTTTGTGCCAGATTCTACACTTTAAAGTGTCTAACGTAAACTTTAGTGATTACAAATCTGGTTACCAATTAGCCATTGCTTAAGTTGTTTCTTCAATGAAACAAAGGTGGTGACATAGGTTACCTATGTGAAGTGCCATTCAACACCCCTTGGTTTAAATTTTTGAAGATCCTCTTGTGTTTTTGCTTACATACACGTATCAAAATAAACTTTCAAATAGGATTCATAACTAATAAAGTAAAACAATTGTTGTTTTACTCTGTTTTTATTATAAATAACAGTAATCCCTTCAAAGATGCATAACATTTTTCTTGCTTTTTAAGCCTTTGTTACAATGCTGTTATATTCATCACAATGATAACCGTTTAAATGACCCCATCTACTCTTCTGATGTGCAAAGATGCGTTACATGTAGGCATTTTAAACCAAGCTGGCAGATTCTGAGACATTTGTTGCCTTCTTTAAGAACCGCTAAATATTTTAGGAATAAATATTTTTGAAATATTTATTTTCATCAAACCACATGGTCTACGGTTAGACCACTTCCTCTTGGCACACGCTTTGGGTTTTCTCATGATGATAGAAGCCAATTCTGGACTTCAGCCCCAAGGCTGAATCTGTCACTAAACTGTGAGTGTGTAAGAGCGCTTGAGGGATCATTAGACATCCATCGCTCACCTGTAACCTCCCACACCCACCCTGCCTGCAGAAACAACTCCTTGGACCTCACCTGCGTGGATGATGGTTTGACAGCCCAAAACAGCTTCAGCTTCTCTTCGTGTTTAAGATTCTTTATAGAGGGATGTGCGGCTGAAACCATGCTGAGGCCACCTCTGCCTGCAGGGAGGTAGGGCCCCCCCCCCCCAACCTCCAAACCTTTACATCAAAAGCACTTCCTTTGCTCAAGTGGTATAAAAATGTCTCCCCTCAGGTAAAGCTGGAGGTACAGTGATGCTTAAAGAGTTTTCTATGATTTATAAGTAATACAGTGTCTGTTAAAAGTACCTCTATAGAGTTTTGGCTCATTCTTCTTTACAAAACAACTCAACCTAAGTCAGATAAGATGGAGAGTCTCTGAACAGTGATTTTAATGTCTTCCAATAGTTTCTCAGTAAGATTTAGGAGTGACTTTATCCAGTTACAACCCGTTTGGTTTTAGTTTGCACCTAAATTAGGACATTTCCAAAGAGCATGGTCTATTAAAGCGACATCTTATACCCCACATGGTTTTAAGTTGATGCATTTTAAAAAGTAATGCTCCTATTTTTTTGGTGATAGACATCTCAATACTCAGTTACATAACAAACCATAGCAAGTGATGTTTAAAAAAAGCCTTTCCTTACCAGGAATAATAAATGCTGCTGTCTAGATTCCACTCTTTGGGCTTATATCAGAGCAGCATGTGTGATTTATAACATGTGGTGTTCGTTTTGTGTGAACTGTGAGCTACAGAATAGCCAGATTAACTTTGCAGTTTGTCGTAATATCCAGCTAATATAGAGCTGAAAACAAGCAAGTTTTCTATTTTTAAAGAAAAAAAACTATGTTTTTTATTTCTGACTTCTTGGCTGAATAAAAATGATAGATTACATCCCAACATGGGCATTGCTAGATGGGGACCAACGGGGGCCTTTGTCTCTGTTGAACTAGTCCTTCCCTTCTGCTGAACACAACGTTTAATTATCATTCAGTTTTGTATGATGATTTGCACTGGAACATAAACTTCTTCTTTTTTTTAATCAGTGGATAAAAATTATTTTTTATAGTTTTACTTTATTATAAATTTAGGTCAGCGGCCTGCAAACTGCAGCTCCAGATTTGCAAGTGGCCCACTTATATATTGAATGATTCATTATTGCCCTGTTTAGGTCTTAGTGTGTTTTATTCTTTAGCCCATTAAAAATAATGATAAACTTGGTAAACTTGGTCTAGAACCACCTCTGCACCCCGATGAGGAGATACTCTATGGAAGATACAGTTTGGTGTTATTTTTACAAACAGATTCCTGGAACCAACAACCTTGGAGCATTGTGAAGGCAAATGTTTTCATATATAATTATCATGATAACAGGTGATATCATTTGATTGATATGATATTTTCATTAGGAAAAAAAAAAAAAAAGAAAATACTTCCACAACCCTGGTAGAGGTACGTTTAAATTTAGGGTAACATTAAACATTTAAAAACGTCAATATAGCGTGGTATAGACAGGGTGGATTATTCTATCACATGGAGATGCTCAGATCTGAACCATTTGACAGGTAACCTCGCCTACAAGCTAAATTCTTGCAGTCTGCTTTAATTATACGAGTCAGACTTAAACAGATTGGCCAATCACCTTACGGTTTAAGGCAGGAGGACATGTAGCTGCTAGCGTCACACTTGCAGTACAATCAAGACTTAACAAACAACAACAACAAACAGAGGATAGAGTTGCAGCTAGGATGAAGATCAATGCAAGTGAGTAGGTGATAACTATTCCACACAACAGTGACAAAGGACAAGCTTTCAAGTTCATGAAAAGAAAGAAATCTTGGAGTGAAACTTCTACATGCTTGTGGTTAGAGCATCGAGAGACCTAAATAAAACCACAATCAAATTTTGGGTGGAAAAATAAAAAAAAATCACATCCGTTTTGTCAGAATCCATGATTTCATCTTTAAAAGTAGGACAAAAGTGTAGGATCATAAGTTTCTATTTGCTGTTTTTTCCTTTGTTACCCTCCAAACTGTCGCGTCGATTCGCCCAAATTAGTTCCAAAGGTTCTGCTAAACGTCCCTTCTTCCCTCGAACAGATTCGATGGGATCAGTCCCAGATTAATAACGTGTAGAGCTAAAACTGAGAGCGACACCTCATCAGTCTGACTCATCATCATTTGTCTGCAGCTCAGGCACCATCCAGGCTTGTCCTCCTTTTAGATTAGCGGAATCATCTTTGATGAGCTTTCCAGCCATTGCTCTGGTCAAACATCCCCACAGCATAAGTCTGCCTCCACCGTGTTTAACCAAAGTTGAAATTTTTAATGTGTTGTGCAGCGTTTTGCCTTATGAATATTCTGCATTTAGACCAAATTAATTGTCCTGAAACTCTTCAATAACAACCAGATCTTTATGTCATAAAACAAAACAATGTTATGCTTTTTTTTCCCCTTTATCCTCATGGTTCTTTTAGCTCCATAACAAACCTCTGATTACTTCCTTTAAGTGTTTTTAGGAAAGCCCTTGTCACAGACGGTGCATCGGAATAAATCAATCATTTGCTGCTTCCTTGTCTCCAGGTGCAGACAAATTAGACGTACAAAGAGCATAAATATGAAAATACTCATTTCCTTTTATCTCTCATCACGTTGCAAACAACCTCCGCAGCCCAGGTATACCTCTACCACGAGTCGGCGTGCGTGTGACGTGCCAAGAGGAAACGTCAGGGAAGGCCCAATTAACCGGGTGATGACAGCAGCTAAATGGCTGGATTAAAGGGCTCGTTCTATAAAGGTCAGGATGCACGCTGCTAATCTGAATCATGAGGCGACGACAGGCTGACAGGAAGGCAGAACAACAAACTGCACGTCCCCTGATGAATGATTGTGGCTGTATGATAGTGGGATGTGCAGAGTCAGCGAGCAAAGCGGTGCTGAGGGTAGAAGGTAGGACTCCAAGTCTTAGGGTCGGATGTTCTGTTTTCCACCGTGCTCCAAACGCTCCTTACAGTAAGTCAGAGAGTTTACTGCAACACAAGCATGAAAGAAAGCATGCTCACGTTTTTCCAGGAGAACTCTTGAGCCAGAAAATGTCATCGCTGGTGATGCCGTGCTCCACTGCTCCAGGGATCTGCAGCAATAAATCAGAACAAACCAAACTAATAAACACAACAAAATAAAATATACATATAATATAGAAAAAAATAAAAGAGAGGAGTTTTTTGGTAAAAATCTTTATTTACTTGTGTGGGGTACTTGGGTCGTCCACCTGTGGCGATCACTATGTTCTTGGCGGTCAGGATTGTCTGCAGGAAAGGAGAGGGAAATGTGATGTAATGGCTTTTGTTCATATTCAAAAACAGCAAGGAAATGTGGAATGAAACAGAGTGGTCTCTGCAGAGTTCTCTGTGAAGGTGATGACAGACGCTGTGAAATCAGCCAAACAACGCAGACAAGAGGCAAAGTATCCTAGGAGCTTTGCTTCCAACTTTAAAAGAAATGAAAAATGTCGACCGTTTAGTAAGCTAGACAGGAGCAGTGAGGAATACCGGTCTTTTAGCTCTGCTGTGAAAGATGACAGTTTTTTTAAACGAATATCAGAAATGTAAAATTTACAAAGTATTGGGCCACAGTAATACCTCCTCTCTAATACCGTCCTCATGAAGATGTTTTCTATTTAAACCTTTTAAAAGGAGCCAAGAAAACAGACGACTCTCAGAGCAAAGAATCTGATTCCTCTTAACTTCAGTGCTCAGCTTCAAGGAACAACGAAATGTTAAAAAAAGTCTCCAATAAAAACGGATAACGTTAAATATTGTTTTTTTTTTGTCAATTCAAAAATAAATTGGATTTTAGATTACTGTATCTAGATGCAACTACAGTACAAATCACAGTACAGATCTACAACCTTACATGGTGCTGTTACACTCCTCACCAGTTGGTGACACTGATGCACCTAAAAGTTGTTTGCCAACCACCTTTATCAGTGGAAGAAGATGAAAAAAGAACCATCGAATATCCATCAACAGCTGAGTTTGATTTCAGGGGCTTCATCCTCTAAAGGCCAAATTTGTTGGCCGATTATGTCGTAGCGCAGCGCCGAGGCCTGTAAGGATCGGAAGACTCCTCGTTAGGCGGCCGACAAATGCAGCCTTCTTTTGCCCACTTTAAAGGACAGGTCCGGTGTATCTGACGTAGCCTTGGGTATCCCATGATTCATGCGAGTCCAAGGAGGAAAAAGGGAAATGGTGCCGAACAGATCGTGAATATTGGAAGTGCAGTTTAATATAATACAAGCATATGAATAGTTCCATCTGAAATCAATAAAAATAGTTGTTAAACGGTTATTGAGTCAGATATGTGGCGGGTAATTTGTTTATTGAAATGTTTTTATCTGTCCCTGTGCAAATAATTTTGTCTGACATTCAAGCACAGATTTCAACATATCTGCAGTGTGGGGACAATAATCTGATATTCTTGACAACGATACTGCTACTGAAGCTTCTCAACAATGTTATTAGCACATAAAACATTAGTGAGATGCTTGGCACTCATTCTTTGCCTGCTTTGTGTGTAAAAAAAATCACAGTTGCTAGGCAACAGAGCGTAAAGGAGGTGAAAGCTGGAGAAGGCTGGACCTATTTTCCATTACCAAATCTCTTCCGGCCTCCTTACTTTCACGGATTTCAGAGGTTAAAGCCTTTGAATTTGAACACACCCATTTTATTCCTGCTTTGAAAACATTTCAGCAAAGACATACGTGAAATGTCCTCCTCTTATTATTTAATAGCAGTTGGCAAACAACCTTCAGGAGCATTACTGCCACCACCTGGTAAGGAGTAGAACACCTTCACTGGGATTTGTAAACTTGTTATTTGCACTCATGTTTTTGTAGAACTGTAAATTCTAAACTTGTATTCCCACAGATGAAATATCAAAATAAAAAACACTTCTAAACTTAAAATAAAACTAAACATTAAAAGCTACCAGAAAACAAGAACTAGTCGCTCGATTGGTGTTTCCGTTCCAAAATGGACACAGATTTTAAACAAAAAAAAAATCCTTAGAAGTGAAGCCAGGACTTTAGATGATTTAGTTTAGTATGTGAACGGTGAACTCTATAAAATATTTGCATAGGGTCAAAGTTGGGTTTGTGTTTTACACAAAAAAACAGAGTTGAGTCCAGTGAAAAGTGGTAATATTTATTTAGCATTTGGTATGTGAATACTTAGGATTATTTTTAGGAAATCAGTTTGAGAAAATCTAATAAATCTTCTGTGTTAATAGTTGGCGTCATATGAATCTTTTTTTTTAGATGAATCCAGATCAGGTAATGGCTTACGGAAAATTGCAATTCTTTGTTTTTAGACAAGCTTGATGAATCAAGGTTGTCCAAAACGTTCAAGGAAGGTTTTGATGCAGCATCCAGTGGATTACGTGCTAATAGAAATGATCATGTTCTCAGTGGGAGCTGATGCAGCCTCCAGAATCTGCATTCCTCTGCAGAAATGCTGATCTGTTTAGGTTGGGTCAATACATTTGAACCAAAGTTCTTTTTCAAGACTCTTATTTAAAAACAGCACACCTCCTTTCCTGCTTTGCTTAGACCTCTCACTGTGTGTTCATCCAGCAGGCTGCCTTTGACGTTCAGATATTTCACTTTCCTGCAAAACACAGAACATGTCATAAGTGCTCCATTACACCATGATGGAAAATTCAGACACACAAAAGCCTACCAACAGTGTTTTCCTGAATAATCCCTTTATTTTATCTCATTTTTGTTATGAGAAGAAAAACGATGCACAAGAATCCTCAATCTCATTGGACTGGAGAGGTTATTTCCAGCAGCCACTCTATTAACATGTGGCTTCTGCTGCTGAGCAGTCCTGCAGCTGTGTGTGGAAAGCCTAAAGCAAACCCAAAGAAAACCGAATCACAGTTCCTTGAAAAGCATTGACGCAAATTAACCTGGAGCTCCTAAAGAGTGAAGTGATGTTGGAGGCATGAAAGACATTAGATCCATTGAACAATGCTTGCAAACTGCTGATTCTGAACAATAAAAGCTCCTCTTGACGGTGGATGCTGTGAAGACACCTTAACTCTAACCAGGATTAGTGATGCATTAACAAATAAAATGAAGAAGAATATTGATGAAAGGAGATTTACTAAAGGAAACTGTGTTTTCTACAAGTGAAGGCCGGTCTGTCTTTTCTGGCAAAAACAGGAAGAATGAATACATTTTCATTAGTGTTTTTTTTCTTTTCAGCTCCTGGAATCATCCCCTTGAAACATGTTGAACCGAAGATGTCGACATCCTTATGCAAACCTCAAAAGTCCAGGCCATGAAATAAATTCTCAAAGGAAAACACCTGGAGGCTTCTGTCCCAGCAGTGCCTGTTGGGGAATCACTAATTACCTATATATCATAGAGACAGATATACCTCAATCTGGCAAAATATCCTAGAGCTATATGTTGGATTTCTTTTTGTAAAGCCATTGTCCTTTGGCTTTTTTTAATAATAAAAAAAAAAGATACAAATATAAAATTAAAAAGCTGATCTCATATCTTTCTGAAAAAAAGATCTTCTATCTTACTCTTTTCCTTTCTTGTTTTACAAACATCTTCACCTCTTTCAGGATCTCAGTTGAGATGTTTGATTATTGCAAAGTCAACTCCAGTCCAGTATTAGCAGCAAATTATTATTCTATGGCACTTAAAATGTGTATCCCAATTGAAAATGCAAAAAAAGTAGCCCTTTGAAAAGAAAATTTGATACCTCTAGCAGCTCTAAACAGTTTTGTTCTTAGTTTGGAGGAAATAAACTCCAAAGCTTATATATAAGCCAGAGCCTCTGTGGTCACTTACTTGTCCTGAAGCTGGACCCTGTGGCCCCAGTTTAAAGATCTGACATGGTTCTGAATGGCCTCTGCCATCATCGCCCTGCAAGAAGATCCCAGAGTTATCAACAATAAATGTCACATTTAACAAGTTTCTATGTCAACATCTATTCTAGCCAGTTTCAATTTGTCATGAGGAAAAGAAAATCTTTAGGTAGACTGGCTTTTTTCCTCAACTCACCACTAGATGGTGCTGTTAAATAACAGATAGATAGCTAACAGTTTTACTCTAACACACATGAATAAAATGAATAAACCACCTGATAAAGTGCTCAGAAATATTACAAAACATAACAAAAGTAGTGATTAGTAGGAGAATATGTCTAAAAATGTAGAACAGTGTGTTCTAATGACCCTTTTGGAAAAAAGTCCTATAAAAAAATTAATAATAAAAAAAAAAAAATATATATTTATTTATATATATATATATATATATATATATATATATATATATATATATATATATATATATATATATATATATATATACACAAACACTTTCACTCCATTGATAAACTGTGGTTACCAATCATGGCTGACCGTCTCTGGCATCTGCCAGCCATATTTCTTTGCATCTTTGACTGCTGTACCAAGGAGAGCAGCCTGATGCATGAGTTTTTTGGGAATGCAACCAACATTGACGCACGTTCCACCGAGACCCCACTTGGTTCCTGTTAGAAAGAGCATTAACTGCTTTCAGAGAACATAGATCTATAAAGGCCATATTACAGGGGGGTTATCATCAACACTGTATTTTACCTTTAGCAGACGGTTCCACATAATCTAGAACAGCCACTTTCTGTCCCAGCTGTGCCGCTGTGCAAAATATGAGGGCAGTTAGACAGAAACCTGACAAATAAATAAACAGGAATAAACAGGCAAAGAGAGCTCACCTTCTTTAGAGCAGGCCAGGCCTCCAGAACCACCACCAATGACCACCAAGTCATAGTCATATTTCCCTATAAGATGGATAATTTTACACATTTTCACTATGTCTTTGAAAATGTCTCCAAGCTGCCCCATGTCAGAAAATGAACTAAGGATGGAATATTTTCTAAACTAGCAAATATCGCAATTAATATGAACACTATAGATAAAACGCAAACTTTTGGAATCAAATATATGACAACTAGGGCTGGGTATTTTCGCCAAAGTTGTGAATAGATTCGATTTTGATTCATACAGTCCTAAATCGATTAATTTCGATTCGATCTGTTTTTACAATAATGAAAGTGGTTTCACCGTGGTTCGAAATACTCATGTATTTATTTTTTTCCTGTCACATTAAACACAAAGTGCAATTTTGTAAATCGGACAGTTTAAACTTGAGATGTGAACAAACTGACTTAAAAGTGCAAACTTGTTTGTGAAACGTGAAAAAGTGAAGTCTCACACGAGCAAGCAGACATGACAAAGCAGACATGCATGAGCTGCATTATCTTCAATGTACAAACCATATCTGCAGCGTTGTCTTTAACAACTACAGGGTGTTTGCTTGTCAGCCCCCATATGTTAATATCTTTTAGCGAATACATAATTAAAAATATATACAATTTTGTGTGTAGCACATGAAAAAGGGGGGACATTTCAAACCTTAGATAAGCCTTAGCGATTCTACAGACATTGAGCATGTATAAAAGCTTGGGGAAGAGGGCCTAAATTTCCCATAATAAACACCTAAACATAATTCTGACAACAAAATTATCCCAAACTTCTCGGAGAATAAAGGCAGAGACATAAACTGAATTTCCCAACGTTTCTCCCATTGCAAGGCCAATAAACTCAGGTAATAGAGTTTAAAACGTTTTTATTTTTTCGGAAAGACGAGTTTTTAATAGAATAAAATGATTGCGTAAAGTCAGATGAAGTTACAAAAGCTATCGGAGCCGTTTATCCTGTCTGCCTTTTTAACGTAAACGTTAATTTTGTGTATGAGCTCTACACAGAAACGCTTTAAAACACTAAAAATATCACTAACCTGTAATGTTTCTGGTAAAAACCTGCAAACACTTCAGCCTTCTCCACTTATGTCTCCCTCCGCAGAGGGCCGCCATGATGTTATAGCCAAAGGACCCCTGACCGGAGCAGTCTGTTTACGGAATCGCCTGAGTAAAATTCCTTACTACTAATTCTCCAAACTTTTCTTGAATTTATAGAAGAAAAGTTGCAAATTTTATTGCAATTCCTTTAGACTGTTATTGGTAAAATTAGTTTGATAGTATTATTATAATTTGAATAAACGACATGTAAATGAAAATAATTGTGCTGTTCGTCTTATTCTTTTAAAGTATAACAGGCGTTAAAATGCATTTACCGCCACCTACCAAGCTGGAGTGTGCATATCGATGAAATTCTGGGAAAATTTATGTTTTTACCTCAATACACACATTTACCTAATAAGTACTATTAAAAAACCCTTTGCTTTTAAAGATAACTTATCAAATGACTCCTGATTTTTATGTATTTTCTAATACATTGATTGATTGACTATTGATCACAGTGAAAATAACTAAAAACGAACCTCCTCTTTAGTAAGACCTGTTTTTAAAAAAAATCATATTGTAGTTGCATTCGATTTATTCATACGATATATCTCATATATTTATTAAATATATCTAGCTTTCCAGATGGCTTCCTAATATCTCGAGGTAATGGTTTTATTCTATAAATAATGACCAAAAGTAGAATTCACATGGTTATTTACCAGACTACATTAAAGGAACGCAATCATTAAACGTGTTTTCCTCCAGAAAAGCAGTGCCTCTTTTTTAATTGTTAGTGATAAACAAAAACCAAAAAACTTGCATTCGATTTTTCTTCGAAAATTGAGTACATTTCATTTTTCTGTTTCAAAACAATACTTCCTAAGTTTTGCTTCTAATATGACTGAAGCTGAAAGTGTAACATCTTATTTTATAAAAGGGAAAAGCAGTACAAAAGACAAACTAATTACAGTTTCTATGCCAGCACATTTAGGTGCTATATTTTCAGTACAGGGGCCAAACCAGGGGCCAAGAACAGTACTACAGGGGCCCTGCCCTCTACTGGCCTTTGTATAGAACCGTCCATGACACTAGTGATCAGCTAATGCAGCATTATTTCATACCATTTAATCTATGTAAAGTGGCAAGTTAAAGCATTTTTCTGTCTTAATTTTTTTTACATTTTTGTGATGTTGTAAATGTGACCTTAAATCTTTGATTTCAGGTGATAAACTAACTAGTGCATGTCTGTAAAGCTGCAGGTCTTTAACATGTCTCTACCAGCTTTATACGTCTGGACACAAAATATTTTTATTCTAAGATCAGTTTGAGTGAAGAGCATCTGTGTGAACGTAAATATTTAACTCTTACCACATGTTCTTGTCGCCTTTAGGAATCTAGAATTCAGCAGAGCTACAGGAACACATGAACACCCTTTTTTTTCTATTCTCATTCCCTCCATTTTATACCTTGGTGTTTGTTTATGGTTAAGCCCTTCTTTGTATTTTGTCTCATCTCACCACAGCATCTTCTTCATTCCTGCTGTCACTGTGTCGCCTACATGGCTTCAGACAAACTGCAAACAAGCTTTCTTCTTGTCCCTCTTTAATAAAGGCATGATAAACTTTTCACTCACACAGTTTAACCAATTGCAAAGCTAATCACTTAACCAATGTAGGAAATCACATCTTTATGTTATTTTTTTGTTTATAAACCATAGAGGAAATAAGGGATATGTTCACCCTAGTTAAAAAAAAGACAGATTAGATTGCAGTATAAGCAAATATAAAACGGAGCCAAGCAACCCTTCATTTCCAGGCATGATTTATTGAAAACACACCAAATTTATACTCTACAAACCAGTATTTTTCCAGTATGTTTAACAAGCGTAATATTTGCCTCTGGGTATTAGTAAAATTAACATAATACATTCTGTCACTCCGGCATCGCTTTTGCTCGCTACGAAAGCTCCAACAGCTTTACTTCTAGGAAATCAAATCCATTTGTCATATGCGCTCTAACTCATTAAAAGTTTATAGTACAATGTAATACAAGGCAGCAACCCGCCAACAGTCTAAACTACTTAGGATGGGGGACAGCCAGGGGAGAGGGGCCTGGATGGATGAATGGATGAGCTGGATGGTGGGAGGGGGGGCTGATACAGGGAAGGAAGGGGGAAGATGTGGAATGGATTTATATAAAACACAGTTATCTTTATCTAGCATGGAAAAGATTAAGGCACATGTTAGGTACAAACACATCTGCTACTCAGTTACTGTAGTTTGGCGGTCTGGAATCTGTTGTATCTACACAGGTAGGTCTGTTTGATTCCTGGTGTCTCTGTGGGTCTTACAGCTCTATGTTCTGTAAATGAACAACAGGCCGCACATTCACACAACCCAGAAGCCTTTCATTACTTTAGAAACCACAAGTCCGACTCCCGATCCTTTGGTTGTGGTAGTGCATTCAAGAATGAGACAGTCACCTGGGTCTTCGTCCAATGAGAAGCCCCTGTGTCTGAGGACGCACATAAGGGTCGTTTGGGTTATGAACAGTTGGGAGTTTTTTTTTTTTGTTTGGGTTTTAACATACAGAAACAATTATTTTCATAGTTTGTTTTTTTTACACGTACACCTTTGTAAACACTGTAAAAGATGCAAGCTTTACAAAGTCACATACGTCACAAACAAAAACCAAAATAAAAGCAGACTTGAACGCAGGCACATGCCGTTCGCCTCGACTGACACATGAAATCAGATCGGGTTCGATTCTCCGTAATGGCAACACGATTCTGCATCTCAACCGTAAAAAATATATATATATTTATATATGACCCATCTTTAATTTACACACTGTCCTTTTGTCTCTAGCCTTTAGCAACCCTCTTTCTGCACGAGTGGGTTAAGTAACATCCAAATGACCTCACAAAGAAAAACTGGCACTTGAAAAGAACAGAATAGAGTAGAAAGATCTTCATGCTCACAACTGGATCATCTCCTTGAAGATGCTGCAGACAAGGTGGGGGTGATGGTAATAGAAACACCCAAACGCATGAGGAAGATATATATATGTATAGTTTTCTTCTTCTTTAAATTAAAAGTCTCCTGTTGCTGCCACAAACACGGATCCACCTGCATGATGAAGAACAAAACGGATACATCTTCGTCTCTGTGACCTTTTCCACAAATACAAAATATAAATAGGTGATCGCCGGTTTGGCTCGACGACATTTGACACACGTTTAAATTATGCAAGACGGTTATTTTTCTGGTTTACAAACAACAGTGAGCCTTCATCAGATGAAATGTGCTTTCCAAACAAGGTGATATCGATATACAAGTAAGGAATCAGATTTTTCTTTTTTTTTTTCTTTACTTTGATTTTTTGTGTTTTACTCTAATATATATTTATGGAAAAAAAAATCCAACGTAAATGCTTTTAGACCAACCCCATTTCTTTAACACTTTTTAGAAACACATCATTTATAAACATAATGCCTTAAATCCTCTTTGATACACAACACAGAGGACCAGCGAACAGCCGAAACCTGCACCGCCACACACAACCTGAGAGTTCACACTGAAAGAAAGCCGGCGGCAGTGAGCGAAGCCGACGGCTTCATACGGGCTGAAGCAAACAGAAACTCACTCAGGATTTTGTTCCTCCTGTGATGCTGTGTGAGGATGAAACGTCACTAGCCTCTCCCCAGATTCCTACGTACTGGTTCCATAACCCTGATAACCTGCCGATCACTCCTGAATTAAAAGCAGTGTCGCTTCCTTTTGTGTTCATAAAAAACAGGAACACAGTGAACCCAGATAGATTTTTTTTTTTTTTGCTTTTAAGGATATAACTGTTTACCTCTACAATGCTAGGGCTCTCCTCAGGCTCGGTTCTTTCCTTTCATTTTTCTCCTCCCTCTGTCATTTTCTCTGCTCCTTTTTCATAACAACGTACCAAATTCAAACCCTTCAAACTCCCTTAAGTCCTTTTCCTCATCTCCTTTCCTTTCAGATTCACTTTGCTCTTTCCATTTCTATCAAATATACTCTGAGCAGGAGTCAACACTGTAAAAATTCACATGATATCGAGGAATGTAGATATGAAAGAGTAGGAAGTGTCAGTACTCTAGTTTTTTTTTTTTTTGTCTTTTTTTTCTCCGTTGTAAAACATGACTGCTGCTGGGTTGTTTCTGCTGTGGCCGTATATTTTGTTTTAAATGCTCTTCTCTGTTCAAAGCCCCGCTCCAAAGGTGAGCTCTTGTGAAATGGCAGTGGTGATATGAGGGATCCTCTTGTAGTCGGGGATGTCGCTCTATTGCTGGTTTAAGCCTGAAGCACATGGAGAAAGGAAAACAAATATTAAAAAAAGTTTTAGTGGCTTAAATTAGCATGAAGATTAATATTTTATTCAAAATTTGTAGGTAATTTTAAGGCTGTTTACAAAATAATACATATATACAATGATTAATAATAATGTTTTATGCCAATAACTTTACAATTTTGAGGTGGTGACGTGTTGCACTGGAAAACATCAAAATCTAGATAAATAATTTTTTCTTAAAATAAGTGCATTTGTTCTTGAATTGAGGAGATAAAAGAGACATTTTGTGAATGGAGCAAGAAAATTTAGATTTAAAATAAGAATACACAACTGGATTTTCTTATTTCAAGTGAATATTATCTAATTATCTTATTTTAAGAGTAAAGATACACATTCCACTGGCAAACTATCTCATTTACCTATTCAAATTAAGAGTAAATACACTTAATTTAAGAAATTTGTACTTATTTCTAGATCGTTTTCCCAGTGCATGTATATAAATATAAGAGATTATCTTTTTAAAGGAAATGTGTTAAATGGATACATGGAAACATAATGAATGACATGAGGATCCCTTTTTCCAAAAATATCCTCCACCCAGAATAAAAAGGTGAATTTTGTTAAAGGGTGCTGCCCTGTTAGAATCATTGTTTAATAAACCACTGACTTAAACAGAAGGGGAGAACCAAAACTGACAGATCAGTTTACAGTTTATGCAGCATCTTCAAAAAATTTGCTCTAAGTCAAAAGCCTAACCACTTAATATTATTAAATAAAGTTGTTGTTTTTTTTCTTCAGTGTCTGAGCTAAATAAAAAGACTGAGATTAAAACTACCTACATTCAGCCCCGCAAAAACGATCTAGAAATAAATATTATTACAGGTGTATGAACAAGCAAATAGTAATAGTTAGGGACTGTAAAAATTTGTGTATAAATATACAATTAATATGGAAGCTACAGTACATGCACAGATTATACAGAATATACAGGAATGCTAGGAAAAGGATTATATATGTGTATTAGTGGATTTATAATACAAGATAAATAATGGCAGATAAGATTTACAGATTTAAAGATTATATTCAGATTGTATATAGATTGTGTATGTGTGTGAGGGGTACAGTCCATATGTTATTATTGTATGGGGGGATACAGTCCTTATAGTTGTGTCAGAAGGCGTGTATGTATAAGTGCATTTACCCTTAATTTGAGAAGGTAAATTAGATGATTTCCCAATGGATTGAGTATTTTTACTCTCAAAATAAGATAATTAGATAATATGCACTTGAAATAAGGCTTTTTCCTATTTTAAATGTAAATCTTCTTGTTTCATTGACAAAGTGTCTCACTTACCTCTTCAATTCAAGATAAAATACACTTATTTGAAGAAAAAATTACTTATTTAATTTCACTTGTTTGCAGTGTTTTAATTTGTCAGTATTTTATGGAGTGGATTTTTTTTCATTATTGTTGCAATCAATGAACAAATTTTGTAAATTGAAATTGAAAATAATTAAATAATAACTGTTTTTGAGAGTGACTTAGCCATTTCTCTTAGAATTTTGTTTCATTTTCATAACCTTATAACTTCATAACTTTACATTTCTTTAATAGATTTTATATTTTCAATTAGTTCTACTGCAATTCAAACCCAGTACAAATATGGACTCCTGATCCACACGTTAACTAATAAAAATCTTTCTAACATCAACCCAGACCAATAGAAATGCGTCTTTGCTGCTCACATAATCTATGAAACATAACTAAGAAAGAAGGCCATCCATAAATATCAATTTGAAAAAGAATATTTAGAAGAAAAAAAATGAAAATATAAAAACTGTTAAAAAAAATGATAAAAATAAAATATGAAATCTGTAAAAAAGAAAAAAAGAAAAACAAGATCTGCAGAAAAACTGCAAAGTTACTCCAAAAGCAGTTTTTTATTAAAAAGGTTTTAAAATTTTCATTCCTGGATTGCATTTCTTTTTTTCAACTTCAATTGCAAAATTTAAAAAAAAAGAAAAATCGCTCCATAGAATTTTTACTTCCAATCATCCTGCATCAAATTACCCCAACGTGTGTGAAAACCCAGACAGCAAAAGATGTTTATTCAATGTTGAATGATGGTCAGAAAGGTTGATTTTTGGGTATAGTCGATGATTTATGGTGGGCCAACAATCAAAGGATCATCCAATACCAGCCAATGAAGCAATGTTGAAATAATATTTTGAACTATGTCGCTCTGTGGTCTGGTTCAAACGAATGAAATGCCAAAGTATTGACCAATCATACACTGTCTGCTGCATCATTATTATGTTTGCTGCTGCCTTTTATACAAACAGCTTCAGACTGTCCCCCAGAAACTATTTATTTTTATTATTCCAATCTCTGCTACCGGTATTTGATGGTTAATGGAAACGCAACTAGTGTCTCGGATCAAACGGCAAAAGAAAGATTTCATATTTAACAGAACAAGACAATGTAATCATAGTAATAGTGTATAATTTAGAAAATTAAAAAGGTTAATTTCAGGAATCTTCAAATTAAACTTTTATAAACTATAAGTAAACCTGGAAGTGTATTAAAAGTAAATGAAAGTATACCTGGAGGAATACTTTAAGTATAGCACGGTACAAAGTACACTTCAAGTTGGCCAATTTAGTGACATAAAATATGTTTTAGTAACCATATATTATACTAGCATCAAAGAGCTTGGTGAACGTTGGATATATACTTAGTATGAACTTGAAGTATGTCTAGTTTTGGTGAGAAAGGCTTCAAAGTGGATTGAGTATTTCTGTCAAACTATGTTTAATAAGTCATTTTTTCTTAAAATCAGTGCATTTTTTCTTGAAATAAGGATTGAAGTGAGACATTTTGCCAATGGAACAAGACAATTTACACTTAAAATAAGAAAACATAATTGCATTGTCTTATTTCAAGTGCATATTATCTAATTATCTTATTTTTAGAGTAAAAATACCAATTCCATTGGCAAAGTATCGCATTTACCTACTCAAATTAAGGTTAAATACACTTAATTTAATTTTTTTTTACTTATTTCTAGATTGTTTTTCCAGTGTAGATTCCTGGCCTTCACTGCAAAAACGATCTCAAAATGAGTAAAAATGTCTTAAATTAAATGTATTTACTCTTAATTTGAGCAGGTTAATAAGATGATTTGCCAATGGAATTAGTATTTTTACTCTTAAAATAAGCTATCTAGATATTATGCACTTGAAATAAGACAATGCAATTGTTTTTTTCTTGTTTAAAGTGTAAATTGTCTTGTTCCATTGGCAAAGTGTCTCACTTCAATCCTTATTTCAAGAAAAAATGCACTGATTTTAAGAAAAAATGACTTATTTAGATTTTTTTTTTTTTTGCAGTGTTGTATATTTCCTGTTTGTTTTTCATCAGTCTAGCTGGGAACTTTTCTTCCACATGCCCTTTAAAAGCCGTTACAGTTATTGCTTCAGACGGATGGCAGCTGGAAGCGAAAGATGGCCGAACAGATGCAGGATGGTCCGGATGAAATGAACCTAACTTACCTGCAGTTGTTGTTATTTTTCTAAAGGGTTACTATGTGAGCTACGATGATTAACCCAATGTATGAATATTAGAGAATGTTTTCTCAAAAGATGACTTAGACAAGAGGGCGGGGGTCAGAAAGGCAGGAGCAGAGGACAACAGCAGGGATGAGGAGGAAGAGAGAGAAACATGCTGAGGAGAAAACAATGAGAGAGACAGAGATTAACCCTGATTGGCTGGCGACCTTGAGAAACCCATTCTGCAACACTTTGAATATTTTAGCCGAGAAAAAAATGTGTGAGGAATGCAAATAGGAGGACTTCCTGTGCCGGCCCTTAATGAAAACCGGAGGTTTTCATTAAGGGCCACCTGAGTCCCTGGAGGATCTCTTCAAAAAAAAAAAAAGAATGACTCCCCATTCTATCATTTTGCAAACCCATTCCTTCAAAGGTTGTCGGGCATCAGGGGGGAAGCAGAGAGGAAGGCGTTGGGCGTACATTTGAACGAGGGGGGCGGAGTGGAATTGTAAACAAAGACCAAATTCCTGTCAATGCTCCATGTGTGACACAGAGGAGAAAATCCAACAGCATATTTACAGACTGTATGGTCGCAGGTTTAGAGTTTTACAAAATAACTTCTGCTTTTTAGCTTTTATTTCTTTTATTTTTCTTATTTATTTTATTTTTTTAACCTAATGCATCAAGCAGAAATAGGGTCTGTTTCAGCGGGCCGACCAATCAGGGACAGAAATGTAATGATCTACATGATGCAGTGAGAAGGGGGAGAAAAGGTGATATGATCAACTGGGGAGGATGGAAATGATTCAGGACTCAAAGTTGAGGGTAGCAATTTGGTTTGCTTTTGATTCATTTCAGGAACCTACCATGCATGCACTTAGACCCAGGAGTCAACAGGCTGAGGCTTAACATCACAAGCGTCCACCAGACTGACCGCAGGCCTGTTACTCCTGATATAGTGTTTCCTATTTGTGTCATTCTGTAGCCAAGGGAGGTCGGGTTAGGAACAAACAAAACAAAAAAAGAAAACACAGTAAAACAAAGAGGTCAGTACATTTTACACAAAGGCTTAAAAAACCAGACATGCATTGCATCCATGAATAAAAAAGCAAAAGTTAGATTCCTGGCACAAGGAAGGCTTTGGAAAGAAGTCAGAGATATCAGAAATCAGCAAAACAAAGCATGCAAATCAAAGGAGAGAAGCTGCATTCAAAGCAGGTCACGGATCAGGAGAACATAGAGCTTCACAGTAATCCTCAGAGACCTGCACAGCTGCCCTGGCTTTACGGTAACAGAGTCCTCTTCAGCCAAACCTGAAGGAATTCCTGAGAGGAATCATAAAACTAAAAAAATACCTCCATCATCATAAATAAAAGATTGAATCCCGGCTGGTTATTGTCAATTTGAACAGTAACCTAATTACTGATGAGTCAAGCTAAAGCTCATCTCTGTTCCAACTGTCAAACATGGTGCTGGTCGTATTATGCTACGGGCTGCCGGAGAATTAAGGACAAACAAGGACCAGCTACCTGATAAATGGCTGTTTTCCAGAAGCACAATCGTCCTGTTGACAGAGCAGGTAAAGCTGCTCTAAAAAGCCTGCTTCCTATCATGAAAGCAATCAGCAAAGTTAGTTTTACTAATTCTGATAAAAAAGAGGTTAAAAAAAGGCAGGATTGCCCCAAAAAATCTTTCGTTGTTCTCTGTTGAAAACTTGACAAAGGAAGATTTAATCAGATATTAGATGGACTGTATGAATTCAACATTTTGAATCCTTTCTGTATAATTATAACAGACTGGATTATTAAAAATAAATTCTGATTCTGGCTGCAGTTAAATACCATTCTGAACAGTTCAGATGCATCATTAAAAACCCAAATGAATGATAAAAGCCTCTCTAAATATGCGAAAACCTGGTCTCTGTGCTCTATGTGCTACTAAAAATAGATGAGAGGGATGCCAAATGAAGGACCACTGGGTTCAGATACGCTCTGTTCTCCAAGTTCTGACAGGTTCTTCTCCTTATGTGGACAGGCTGGCCTCACCTTTGGTTCTTTAACAATGATTAGACACCTGAAGTCCAGGTGGGATCCTTGATTATTTACTACAAACTAACTCATCTCTACATTTTTGTTTTTTGCTTTACAACACAAACACATCCGCTCTCCACCCATAGAGACCACACACCACAGATTCACTGACCTTCAAATATCCTAACAAAAACACCATCGCTTCTACAGTAAAATATCCTCCTCACGTGAATACAACACAGCAACTCACAGCAGATATCAGGATTGCTTTTTATTTATGCAGCCATTTTTGTCGGAATAGTTTGTTTTGGTGAAGAAGCTTCCATTTTCTCAGTTTTTACATTAAAGTGAGACGCTGCTGTGCACAATCTGATAAAGAACCCTGATATCATGCAGTGAGGTTTAAACAGATCATGTTTAAAATGAAAACAAGCTGAGAAGGAAGTTAATACTCTCATTCTTTTAGTGCTGCAAGTGTTTTAAGGCTGAACAGAAGATGCTGTGCCATCTTAAGTCTGTTAATCTGAAACATCTCACATTAGTATCAATGAGCAGAAGCCGTCAATAAAGCAATTCATGGCTTTTTTTTTCACCAAACACATTTAACCAACTTCTAATATTACCTTAAAAAGACCTTTAGAAGTAGAAAGATAACCCTCAGTTTATGTAAACACACACTGATGCAGCCAGACTTTTTATTTTCCCACAAGGCCGATCTCATCCATCAACTAGATGAAAACCAAACAGCCAAAAAGTACTTGAAAGTCATCCGACATGTCGGCCATCCTCCGAGGCCATAATCTTCTCACTCTGCTTGACAATAAACAAGCTCTTGCTGCATAATCAGTAGACGACCTCTTGACAGTTCGGCAGCGCGCCCATTTCTGTAACAAGGCTCGTCTCCAGGAAGTGTGTTCGTTGGCGGTTCTTTTAATCAGACACAGATTAATTGCTTTACGCACTCCAAAAGCTTACAGGCAATTAACCGGTGGCTCAAAGATCTGAGGGTGTCCGCAGCGCTGAGCTGTGGGGGCAACATTAACCGAGGACGACAACTTCCAGCCTGTTTAGAGAGTCGATAGAATTAAGAGCTTCTAATGAGGACCACCACAGAAGGAGTGGGGAGGGGAGAGGACAAGGGATGATGTTTCCACATAAAATCAGTTCTGTCTGTGGCCCTTGAACCAGATGAGATCACAGGAGGGTTAGCTTTACCTTCAATGGTTCCCGTTCTGTCAGGTCCGCAGAGCCGTCGTCTGTTTTGTATTTGCAGTCCTTGTCCCTCTGGTCAATGGTGGAGTAACCATCTAATGAGATCAGAGGACTGTGGTCAGCTCATTCCTTTGACTGGGATCAGTGGTTTAAGATTTCCAAGACACAAAGAGAAAGTTTTTCCTTTTACGAGATGGGAATGTTGGGAATGTTTTGGGAACATAAACATGATTACTTAGACTTACAGTTATTAAAGTGTCATTAAATAACTGTCTGGAAACACACAGAATATTAAGGCTTATATATTTTTAACGTTCTATTATTCATGTGAACAATTCAATAAAATATTGTAAAAACAATCCAACTTTTCTAGAGATGCATTGAGAAATCCCCTTTGACTGATTTTCATCCCGATAAATTGTGATCAGTGAACATGTTGTGTTTCTGTGGCACCCTGATCCACTAAAGTTCTTCCAACTGGAGGTTATTAACTAAAGGAAGCTTTAAAAATCTGTTTGTTTTTTTTAATTGGAAGGCATACTTATGAGATCATTTAAAAGAAAGTATAGAAAATTACAAGAACAGTCTGAGAGAGCGGGATCTTCAGTAGATAACAGGAAGGCAGCAAAGCTGCTGTTTTTTCCTCGTTCAATGGAACAAGCAGGATTTGGAAATCTCTGCAACCTTTTTTTAACCCCCAGTTAAGGCAGGGATGCACAATTTCTGAGGAAAACACTCGGAAGCCGTGTTTCACTTTGAACTAACTTGAAAAAATGTTGAAAAAAGAACATTAGGTGCGTTTTTAGTCAACCATGTGATGCAAAGCATCAAATGTTTAGGTTACACTTTGCTCTATTAAACAGGAAGTAGAGTTAGCAAGCCAAGACAGACCACAGCTCAGTTATTGAGCAACGCTTTAATAAATGTTGCCATCCAACAAGTTGTACTTATTTATAGCATTAGTGACGGTATGCACCATTCGGATAGGTAGAAAGAGATTTGATTTTAAAACAGTCATGTACGGTAAATATTCATCTGTCAGAACTATTTCCATCTTATCTTGAACATATTTCCTTCTATTCACAAACCAGCTCATCGGACTGTAAAGAAAAACTTTTTTGTGAAACTTAACAAGTTGATTCAAATGTTGCTGCTTCCATAAAGCTCTTCTAAAAGCTATTCTTCAAAATGGCATTAAAACCGATAATGGAAGCATATTCAGTGACTGATGTTTTGTTTTGCTAGCTGCACTAACTTATTGTTAAAGAACAACTCTTTTCTTTTTTTTTAGAGAAGAAGCTCCAGTTGAGGCTAATTTCTAAACTGTTTTCTTTAATTGACTGAAGTTAGATATCATGAAGACGAGAAAGTCTTACTGCATCCTTTTAGCTCAAAGATGTGTATAGCAGCTGTCTTGAATTTCTTCCAAAATACTTTACTGCATTAATCTGTTGGATTATGACCTACTAGTTCTACTTTGACCAATGTTCTTTGTAGATTAGCAGAAACAAGTAGGAATGTCTTCCCTTTCGCTTCAAGCTACACAGCTAAAAAAAACATTGGTTTAACTATCTGTCCACTGAGATCAGAGTCCTAAACAGGTCAAATTTTCAGGAACCTCAAACTATTTGACCCGATGCAGATCTAATAAAGAGAGATGTCAGATCAAACAATACAGTACTGGAAACTGGAGAGCAATCCGCAGAAAGAAAGCGATTTTTAATATCAGAGGACAACGCAGCTTGGCTTAGGGTTATCTCAGGGTTACTAAAAATTCAAACTTGATATTTTCAAATTTCAATACCATGGGGGGAAAAAAAAGATAAAAATCTTTTCATTAATGTAAAAAACTTACCTTTTATAAGTATAAATAAAATGATTATATGTTAATGTTCCCGAAGGATTATTGTTTTAATGAGTAAATAATCCAGAAATCTAAAATAAACAGTAGCAAAAAAGGCAAACAACATTGAAAAATGTGTGTATCTGGATACACTGTATGAAGGAATAGATTACTTTCAGAGTCAGACTGAGTATGGATATTTTTAATAACTGTGGCTCTTGCTGCACCTGGACTCAGCTGGTCCAGAAGTGTCTCATCATCAGACACTCGTTGCAGGAATTGACACTTTTCAGACACATGCTGCCTGAAAATAAGTTGTGTAATTTTGACTGAAGCTAAAATAGAAAAACCCAGAGCCGCAGAATGGTTTCCAGGGTAATGATGTTTGGGCCCAGATCAGAGAACGGGAAACAGAGCGTGATGAGAGAAACAGCAAACTGCCAACATCCAGGATGGTAATCTGCTGTTGTGCTGTTTAAGTAATTCAGAATTAAAGGATGATTATCTTTCAGTTAGCCTCAAGGATTAGTTACTTACAGTTTCTATTGCTTTTTTGGGGCAGAGCTGTTCTCTAAGACTTTACTGGTTTTCTTTTTGCAGAAAATAAGTTAGCCAACAAAACATGTGAAAATCAAATGATATAATAAAAAAAAAATACTTTTTAAAATACAGATTTCATAAGCGAAGAAGTTCTGATCCAACTCCTTCAATCAAAACATGATCCTGATTGTGGCATATTTTAATATTTTGTGACGCTTATCCCTGGTAGATTAAACGCGTTTAGCGTGACAGAACTTATAGAAAACACGCCAGTTTGAAAGATTCAAAAACATTTGTTTATAGAAATCCAAAGTTTTCCCTAAAAATCAGTGATGTTCAGTATGGCTGTTGCAGAGAGCTTGTTCCAACCGTTACATTTCCGAATTCTCCCGAGTGGTGCCCGACTTCATACGAGTAAATAAAGTGAATGTGATTGGTCGATTATCATGAGGGCGGGATTGTTGTGGCGGAAGTTTGGTTTTGGCCGGTGTCTTGGAAATATCTTGCTAACCAGTTAGCAACTTAGTGCTAGTAGGTTCCCAATGGGAAATTACATTAGGACCAAGCAGCACTAAATTGTTGACCTAGAAACGACACTGTCAAGGAACGCTATGGACAGCAGAAACATGCAAGAGGAGGAGAGTTTTGTGTCAGAGGTTGTGGCAGTGGCGGCTGGTGAAAAATATTTTTGGTGGGGCTGATATAGCCTAGTGTAGGCATCCCCAAACTCGGTCCTGCAGGTTTTAGAGGTTTCCCTGTTTTAGCACAGCTGATTATCATGATTGCAGTAGAGAAGAAGTCAATTAATCAGCTTTCAATTAAAATCAGCTGTGCTGTAGCAAGGAAACCTCTAAAACCTGCAGGACAGCGGCCCTCGAGGACCGAGTTTGGGGATGCTTGGCCTAGTGTATGTCTCCAACTAATCCAGAATAAGAATTCAAATAAACAATTGGAAATGAAATACAATTTAACAGTAATGATTTAATTTACTATATAATAACAGTAACAGTGATGATTTTGGTCATTGTGACGGGGTTCTTTGGCCTCCAAGAATCCAGGCTCAGTCGGGTTACCGGTGTTGGTGATTTATTGTGCTCAAAAACTCAAAACAGGGAGCAAAAGAAACTAAACATATATAAGATACTCTGGGCCTCAGCCTCCCTCCAGTTACCAGCAATGTAACAAAGAAACAGAAAACAGAAATGGCCGCTCTTCCTCCCACAGCCCTCATTAAATAGTTGTAGCCCCTCACCTCAGGCTCTCTTATTTCTGATTTCTTCTCATAAATCAGTTTTGTCCATATATTACCTCCACAAACAATTGATATACAAAAAAAAAAAATGTTTACAACTTAATTCCTTTACACAGATTCATTGACTTATTCAATTACACCAAACTGTTAAACATAAAACAAAAAATAATCTGACAAACATCCGCATTCCAACAACTCTGGCGTTTTAACCGCTTACTGAGCGTTGTCTCGGGTTTGAACCCAGCAAAGACTCCGCCAGACTGAAGATGACAAGTCCCCGTAGCATAAACCCGTACCCCCCCCCCCCCCCCCCCCCCACACACACACACGGCTAACCCCACTGAAATATTAAGTGTGCACCCTCAATACGCCAGCAGGTAACCAGGAACAGCTTGTGTGTTTTAAGTTAAAGAACCGCTACTGGGCTCAGCGCGAGTGTATTGGTCCTCACAAGCACAGTATAACAGGAATGTGTGTGTGGCACGCAACGTTGGTTGTTTTAAGTGACGAGGTGGATTCGTCACAGTCACAATAACCATGACATGAAATTTTCATATCCTACAACATGGATGTTCTTCTGGCAAACTGGTAGATAAATAAGGATCTCACTGAATTTGGTGGAAGCTGCATCTCGCTCGTTACATTCGCCATTGTCCCTCTAATTGTCTGCACCTGCGCATTGGGTGCAGAAGCCTGTTAAAGGGCAGTATTTTCAGAGCCCCAAGACCATAAAATTCTGAGACGCTGATTGGCTTTTAAATTATTAAATTGACCTAGCAATAGTACATGATTGGCAGATTCTATGCACTTGTGGGGCTGTCTGATCACAGCCCCAAGACAGAGACGGTAGATTTTAAAAATAGAAATTTTCTAACTTTTGGGACAATATGGTCTGATAAAGAGTACATTTATATACATGTTTAAGCCAGAATTATTCGAAATTTAAATATGACTTCCCTACGACAATAAATTCTGTTTATCTCGGACTAAACTTTTTATTTATTAGACCACGCATTATAAGCTAGCCTAATTGACTTCCGTAAGCTTTTCTGGTAACTTTGTGTGTTTACCTTCAACTACAACTTTTTGTTTATCATATCACGCATAAATAAAGTAGCCTAGTAGACTTCCTACCACTTATAGCGTCACACATGTGCAAATATGACGTCTTGCGCCTGCGTATTGACTATGGGTATGCTGGTCTGACAGAGTATGCTGACCTGACTTATTTCACTAAGGAGGAAACATATTTTTCTATAGGTTTTTATTTGCTCAAGACGAAACAAAACCTAATGGAAATATGATAAAGTTTTATTAAAGCAGAGAACAAACAGCCTCACAAACTGCTCTGCATTAAACAGCATCAGAGAAGGAGCAATAACTGAGCTTTAGCCCTATGAGTAGAAGATCATGATCAAGCTGTGTGCCTGAACATTGCAGCAGTTAATCGACTCTGATCCACAGAAACTCAATTTGGAACAGCTCACTGCTGAGTGAAGGAGAAAACAACTGATGAAACATAGGGTGTTATTTTACTGACCTACTACATCTGACTCAGTTGTTAACATGTATCAGACTTATAATAAAATGCCCGATGTTAGACTCAGACTGCCTTCTCTGATCATCTGTAGTTTGACTTACAGTAGTAACTTATATCCTATGTTGTTCATTTCCTGTCCATTTAAGATAAATGCACTTTGACTGGTGTAGGTAATAAAATGGTTGACCTTTGTCCAATTTAAGCTAAAAGATCCAATGCTTTATGTTGGAATATTGTGAACACGGATAATATTAAAGCCTCCAACTTTCATAACATCTGGAAGATGTTTTGAAAGCCAATAAAGATGGCGACAGGAAGGACACACCTTTGGAAAGGGTGTGGTTTTGTTTTTGCATTCCTGCCATGTTCATAGTTTTCATAAGTTCATGTTTTTCTGCATATAGCAACACTGAATACTTTCATCATATTTTAAGAAAAAATAACTGAATTTAAGGTAATAAAGAGAAATCAATATTCTAAGTTTAGTTTTACAAGATGATTGAACTTATAAATGTTGTTGAGAATAAACTCACTTTTTTAAAGTGTGTTGGAGATTTTCTATAATTACCAGAAAAGGGGTTCAGTTTTGATATGTAGATTTTTCTTTAGAAGGGGTTATTCCTTGAAGATGTTGAAACCAGCCTGAAACCCAGGAGCACACACATACACACACACACACACACCAACACACACCAACACACACATACACACACCTACGCATCATAGTGAGGACCATGTGTTGACTCCCATTGACTTCCATTGATTTTCTGTCACTTTCAACCCTTTCTATCCTACAACCCTAAAATTAACTCTAAACCTGACCATAACCAATGCATACCTAACTCTAATCCTAACCCTAAACAACTGACACCTTAGCTCTAAACTTAACTATTAGCAAAATAGCATGTGAGGACCAGCAAAATGTCCTCACTTTGCAACAACTGGTCCTCAATTTGATGGTCAAATTGGAAAAAATGGTCCTTACTGTAAGGGCTAGACCGGTACACACACACACACACATTTCTAACTGACCTTGGTTCTTCTCCATCAGCGGCAGGGTGGTGTCGTCATAACCTGGTTTTCCATTCTTGGTGGTTTTAGGGGTGGCCGTCACAGTGGGCTGAGCAAAAAGATAAAGCAAGTAGCATAATATAACCTGGATCTGTTAACTCTGCAGCTCCAATAAAGGGCATTTTATTCAAAGCTGAAAATGCGTTTATACAGATTAAAGCTTCTGGGGACGTAATTCTGATTAGTTTATGAATTCAGGGAAAGTTAACTTTTTTATATATGAATTCAGTCCTATTGAACAACCTCATAGAAACTCACACACAGCCTAATGATCTAGATTACTAAGATCTAGATCAGGTGGTGGCATCAAGGAGAGTTAACACCTTAAATATATTGCTGGCGAACAGCAGTTTGAGACTCAAAGGTCAGAGGCAACCAGAGATGAGAATCTTTCATCAACTCTGATTGGAGATTTTAAGGTATATATTATTTTTGCCCTAAGCTGGATCCTGAAATTAAAGCTCCTAAATAAAAGATTCTTCTGTAATCCACTTCTTTTGTGTTTAATAAAAAATAAAAAAATTCTGATCTTTTAATTCCCTGTTGGACTCACAGCCACATGAATCACAGAACTTCAAGAGAGATCATTTTTTTAGGTCTCACTCTCTTGAACGGAATGAGCCTTGGTGAACCTCAGAATCGGGTCTCAGTACTGAAGCCTGAATAATGCATCACTTGTTTTAAAGCCTGTCACCTAAAATATACCAGCCTACTATGAGTTATTTTTATGATTTTATTCAATCCGGAAAAAAAACAGATCTGAAAGGAGAGAATCATTTTGAAAGTAAAATAAATTTATTGGAGAAACCATATTTTCACACCAACTGATATTATTTAAGAGTGAAAAAAAGTTTTAAGGAAAAAAATAAGAGAAATTGACATTTGGAAAAAGATTTCCTGGGTGGAAAGTTCTCTTAAAAAATGTTTTTACTCTCAAATATTGTTATTTTTATTTTATTTTTTACAATCAGAGTGAAAACATTTTCTTTAAAAAATAGATTTCTCTCTCAACTTTTTTCTTCTCTCTCTCAAAATGTCAAAAAATTCAGGATTTTTCTCTGGATGTGAAAAATGTTTGCCTTTGTTCCTCTTAGCCAGTTTCAACAGAACTGGCAGCTGAGTGGTGATATCGGGTACAAAGGTGGTTACACCTCTGCATGCCCAGACTGCCTCGCTCCACAAGCAGGTGTGTCTTTATAAGCAGCGCCACACCTGGAATGTGAACGAGAGCTTCTGGCTGCAACTGAACCAGAAGGTTGCCATCGGGTTTGTGTTTTGCAACTTATTGCTGTAAAATACACATCAAAACACAAACACAATAGGCTTTTGTTTGTGGTGACAATCTTTACCACAGCTGTCTTCACCATGATTTAACATGTTGGGCAACTTTGTTTGCTTTGCTGTAGCATCATTTGTGGCCTTGTGGTTCCAACCAAAACGATAATAAAACCCACTGAGATTTATAGAGATATTCAAGAGGCTACTGAAGCCCAGCTTAGCCCTGATAAGCTCCATAATGTTTGATTGACCAGATCAAAGCAGGAAGTTTAACTTGTGAAAAAGTAAAGTTTTGTACCTGGAAGTGGCTTTTGTTCCAACCGTCTTTTGCCAAAGCGTTCCTCAGCTCCTTGTAGCTCCAAACCGTCTGCAGTACATGTGATGCCGCCTTTGTTTCACGAGCTGATTGGCTGAGGGGAGAGAAGATGAATGAAAAACGGTGAATAAATGAGGAATTTACAAGAGCAATTAGAGCAAGAAAGCCCAGCTAACCCCCTGACAGTAACAGCTGCTGTGGTGGATCGGCGCGCCGACGATCAATCTCTTTATTCAAAGGCTCTGCCTCCACGCCTGCCTTCAAGCTCCGCTTTTGTTTTTAATTCATAACCAGATGAGTTATGAATTTGCTTTCATTAGTTACCTCTGAGGATCCAGAATTAATTAAGAAGTGGTTTTGTGGGGGGGGGGGGATGATTCCCATCAAAGAAAGCTAACCCATGAGGCTGAGCAGCTATGCAGCCATTTGCTCTGCGGCTGGACGATGTATATTCATGGTAGTTAGCAGCTGTCAGCATAATCAATACACCCCAGCACAATAATAGGTCTTTAAATAAGAGAGCATCATGAGGTGGGTCAGTCCTCCAGTCTTTAAACTTGTAGATTTAGAGCTCCATCAACAGCACTGCCTCAAGCTGGAAAAGCCTTTTAAATAATTTGTGGAGGGCAGAAAAGTCTGCAGGCTCACACTTTTCAGGATTTGAAAGGCAAACTCTTACTAGTAGAGATATATTACACTATTCTCCATGAATACTAATAAAAACCGTATGATGCAACCAGCTCTCAAAGCCTAGCTATAGTAGAATGAAAACAAGGTCTAAAAAAACACACATCTCAGACTGGTGTGTGTGATCTTCTACATCCGACGCAGAGAATTCATGCCTCTTTAATTTTACACATTTGATCACGTTACAGAAAAAGACATTTATGTGAAACTGCTTTATTCTGAAGTGGAAGAAAAATTTATGTTTCTTTCTCCAATCCTCTGTACACCATAGCCTAAAATAAAACCCAATGTAAGCAAACTATCACTCAATCAATCAATCAATCAATCAATCAATCAATCAATCAATCAATCAATCAATCAATCAATCAATCAATCAATCAATCAATCAATCAATCAATAATGTAGATTTAAATATAGTTGAAAACAAACTACAGGATTTTGAACCCAAGATAATAAAGAGTGATTAAATATTTATCTTTAGCTAACAGGGGGAGCTGGAATAAAAGCTTTTAAACTTTTTATTCAATGGTGGATGGTTGGTCCAGAGCTGCATTTGACTGCCTAGAAGGATGAGGGAATTCAGTTTTGGGTTTGTTCATAAAGAAAGGTTTAAGGGCCCATTGGGATTGACGCACGGACATTTTGGGTGGAAAATGAGCTGTACGTCACAGCGTCTGCAGCGTTTAAAGTCTGTGCGGCCTCCTCTAAGAGCTGCTTCCCGAGGAGATACAGTTAAGGAGATAATGTGGCAGTAGCCACCAGGTGGCAGTAGCCAGGAACGTTGTGGAAAAACTTTCTTGGAGTTTTTTCCACAATCATATTATAGTGGTGATATATATTAGCTAAATCACGGGATGTCTCTAAATGTTTACATTTGCGAACCCTTGCTGCTCCTCGCTCGCAATGTTTTCCGCGCGGATCCATCCTCGTGGATTTTCCTAGGTGCAGGAGGAGAGGCGTGGAAGCCCAAAACGATTATTTGGCTGCAGAGAACATGCTGATGTGTCAAGAATAAAACTATTTGTAGCTATGACTTTGATTTGATGTCTTCAAGAAATGCTTGGATGGACTGTATGTCAGAAGAGTTTGGAGACACAGGCAGATAAATTTCTAAATTATCTGCGTAAGGATGGTAAAAAAAAAAACGCTATATAATAATTTATCAAAGAACCAAGTGCAAAGAAAACAAATAGAGGGCTGAGAAAACAACCTTGGGGCACACCGGAGGTTACAGTAAGATACCATTAGAGAACGTTTTATTGGTTAGTTATGACTTTAACCAAACCGAAACACTACTTTGTGTTGATATAACTCCCCAAACTTAGGAAACAGTTGTTCCTTCATCAGATAATCTGCACCTCGTCCTCTTGATGGCGACCAGCTTCTCGATGGCCTGGGCCTGGATGAGGGAGCGAGCGTTTTCCGAGCTGTCCATCACAATCTCGTGAATGGTGTTGAGGATGGCCACCACGGTGTCCTCCTCCAGGTTCTTGGCTGGTCTTTGCTGACCACTTGGCAGGTTGCTGACAAGGTCCCGCATTGCGTAGCTTCCTGTAAGGTGAAGGGTATTTTAGGATACAAAGTCTTTAATTCTTCTATATGATTAAAAATATCTTAAGATATAATGTTCAGTAGTTGAATGCTTCTTACCAATCAGATCCTTGTTGCGTCGATCAATGGAGAGGTTGCGGAGAGCGATGGCCACAGCTCGGACCACCTTGTCAGAGTCGGAACGCAGCAGCTCCACCAGGATGGGGAGACCTTTCTCCTTCCGCACCGTGGCTCGGATGTAGTTGGACCACTGGAAGAAAGCAAACAGACCATGTATGAGAAATTAAATTTTCACTTTCTCTCCCATTTGGTCCTATATGTGAGCACAAACACTCCATCATTCATTCATTAGCGCCTCCTGCTGCTGGGCTCGCTGCACAGCGGGGCTCTGAATGGACATTTGCTTTAATTTGTCTGTATTTTAACATCACTGCATTTTACTTCTTATTTTCTTTCGCATGAAACATCAGCTTTGACATAAAAGGATCTCTCCTCTAAGAGCTGCTTCCCCAGGAGATACAATTAGAGAGAAACTGAGGCGGTCTGAGCCACCAGGTGGCAGTAGTGATCTGTGGAAAACTTGGGAAAAGGAGGGAAATCAGGAAATCTGTGGGGTTAAAAACCTTCTGATATTCTCTTACCGGTCAGCAGGAGATGTTTTGTTCTGCTAATAGATCTAAAAAAAACAGCATCACTGAATCCATAAACAAAAAACAATCATGATCGGAAGCCTCTAAACAAGGGGCTGAAATCAAAGATTAAAAATCCAGAAAAATTTCTGATTAAACAAGATGCTGCTAACGATGAAAGGCAGGTTGCTGCACAGGTGAGAAGAGGCGGCTGTGAGCTGAGTGTACGTAGACCGTCTACTGAGGAACACAGGTGACCGCTGCTGCCTGAGGTGCTTAGAGTAACCTGGCATTGGATGGCCAGCGTTTCCACATAGATAATTTCCTGCAGTCTGGGAGCAGAGCAACCCTCTTAGCAGCTTCACGACTGACTGGAGTGACTGGAGAGTAATGAGTGTGGTGTACAGCTGTTATCTAATTATGTGATTTCAGCAGGGTTAAAGGTTTCACCTTTCCTTCATGTTTTCCCTTTTAACAGACTAATGTTAGAACTAAAAAGGTTTTTATTTCACTATAAGATGTTATGGGTGTTAAGTTGTTTCCACTTTTATTACAAAAACTCCACAAAAATCCAAAGGTGGTTAATTGTCTTTCGTGTTGAAATTTTACTTATTCTGTTTAGATCTTTTTTAGAAATGAACGCACAAAAATCTAAGCAAGTAATTTTTTTTAATGGACAATTGTCCATGGAATGAGATGATTTAAGTTTCAAATAAGAAAAGAAAAAAACTGTTATCCTTTTTTCAGAGCCAAAAGTCAAACTCAATAGGCAGAGGATTTTTATTTCACTGCTCATATTCAAAAAAGATATTTATTTTTTATTTTTGCAATGCATTTCTTTAGTCAGTTACATTAAATCCGAAGCTCACTCAGAAAATATGGAGATATCTTTAAAGTAAAGGAGGAAGAAGGGAAGGAAAGAACCAGACTTTTGCAGACAGTAGGATCCTTGGAGAACGCTTTTTTCTCTGATGAACCAACTTTTGCCTTTCCTTAAAGCCGCTCCACCAGCTGTCCAACAGTCACCTTTACACTAAAAGCACCTTTAGTTTCACACTGAGCTTAACTTTGTTGCTGCTTTCTGAGCCACAGTCTTCCTGCCCTCCGTTAAAGCAGAACAGGATGCCATTTAGTCCTAATTGGTGCTTCCGGCGGTAAAATGCAAGCCACTAAAAGGCCAACGTCAAAGTTTGCAGAAAGTGAGCAATTAAGCAAAAAGTCATTTTCTTCTCTTCATACCCTCCCCAGCCCAGGACTTACAGTCCACTGTCCAGCGCTGAGGTTCTGCAGAGCCCCTGCTGCTGCCTCCAGGGTGTTGTAGTTCTGGCTCTCGGTCAGCAGAGACAGGTAGAGCCTCACCACTTCTGGCTGGTACAGCAACTCGAAGCCTGTAGGGGGACACAGAGAGACGAATCGCTGAGACCTGCTGGCTTGACAGAAGAGGCAGATCTGCTTTGTGGAGGAGCCAGCAAAAGTTTTATGAGAAGTTATCTCAGAGTCCCTCTGCACAACAAGAGGAAAGAAGCTTGGGTTTGCAATGATGCATGACTCTACTGGTAACGATGCAAATGCAACAAATCTGGGAATACATGTTTTGTTTACAATAAAAGTAAAACAAAAACAAATTCAGAACATTTATATGGGGAAAAAAACAACTGAAAACTAAAGATGAGAGCAAGTCTTTTAAAAAGTTGGAGAAAATTTCCACTCAGCAACATAAGAGCATCACCACCAACAACACTCGACTATAACAGAAGAAGACAAGGAGAGATTATCGATCCAACTCAAGGCTGAACCTCGAGTATTGGAGAGGGAGTTTTATCTCACTAACACACAAGACGTGGAGCCACAGCCGATCATTATTCCTCCCTCTGATGGAAACCTAATTACATTTATCAGCTATTAGACAGAGCAGGCTCAGCGAGGGAGGCAGAGGCTTCTAATAAAAACCAAAATCAAATTCATCCATCAAAGGGTTTTTGGTTCTTTAAACAAATAGGCTCATCAGCGTTTCACAAAGATCCAAAGGAACACAGAGCTGTACAATGTTATGTCAGGGACAACTGAACAATGCACGCGTAAACTGTTGAACTCTTTGAAGGAAGCAGAGGCGCAGCGATGAAAGCTTTGCAAAATCCAACCCTCCAAAATCTGTCACACAACTCTGATCTCAGGAATAAAGACCCTCTTTATAAAAGGGGGAATCACACTAAAGAAAGACAAGTTTAAACAGATGTTATTCACTTCAAATGTAATAAAAAAACTTACAGTTTTATAACCCATAAGAGGTAATCAATAAAATACTTTGATCTTACAAAGCTAGTCTGTAAATATGAGGACTGCACTATTATTTTCTCATCATTATTATTAGGATGCACTATTTTCTTTTCATTTATTGATCTACAAAAATCTACAAAGAAATTGTTTAAGTTGCTAAATATACTAGAAATTATATATATATATATATATATATATATATATATATATATATATATATATATATATATATATATATATATATAAAAACGCATGATACCATTTTATATAAATATATATCTAATTCAAATTGAATAGATTCTTATGTTTATATTTTAGTAGAGTTTTGTCTTAAACGGCAAAAATGGTAAGCTTTAGATTGTGTGTTTCGTTACTCAAAGGAACAATTTGATCGCATCTCTAAACTAGATGCTGAAATAATCGATTAATGACAGTTCATCATTTCAGCCCAATTGGAAATAAAAGTGTATCAACTTTCAGTGAAAAAGTCTAGACTCCTAACATCCACCTGATTTTGGGAAATTCTTGCCTATTTTGCAAACCCAAATGGAAATGCAAATAACTTAGGAACTGTAAGCCCATATTACATGTGTTATATCTTGTTTGAAGGCTAACACCTTCTAGTTTCTGAATATATACATGAAAATTTGGTGAGTAAAACACAGCCTAAGCTGCATCAGTTCAAACATGACTCAAAGTTCCTCTTTTTTTTCTCAAAAATAATAGGTCATTTTTGAACAGCAGAAATAAAGACATGCTTGCTTGTTGTGCTTTGTCATGTTTACATTTTGACCTGTTATACCTGTTTAAATTGTGTTAATTGTGCTTTGGTGCTCGCTTTGTCCTTAAAATGAACTAAGTGGTTGAGTTGTGGAGAATCTAAGCTTTCCAACTATGTTAACTCTCTATTGGTGAACATTTTACCGGTGTAATTTTTCATGCATTCTGAGTTATTAGCTGTAAATGCTTTAAAATAGTTTTGGAAGCTAGAACCAGTGATAAAGCAGGTGAAGGGTAAACCATCATCTTCACACCACAGTCACAAAAACATTTCAAACACATTCTAAGATTCATGCTATATCACTACATGTCAATTCCCATGTTTTTTAAGATAATTTAAACACAAATCTAATAGATAAACCTTACAGGATGCATTTTCATTAGTTTAATAAAATACATAAAGTTTATTTTTTGAATTGTATGATTCCTTTCTGCAATTCAAACAATAAACTTTATGTATTTGAAATAAAAACAAATCTAATAAATAAACCTTACAGGATGCATTTTCATTAGTTTAATAAAATACATAAAGTTTATTTTTTGAATTGTATGATTCCTTTCTGCAATTCAAACAATAAACTTTATGTATTTGAAATAAAAACAAATCTAATAAATAAACCTTACAGGATGCATTTTCATTAGTTTAATAAAATACATAAAGTTTATTTTTTGAATTGTATGATTCCTTTCTGCAATTCAAACAATAAACTTTATGTATTTGAAATAAAAACACTCATCAATATCAATTTTGAGTAAATATACTTTATTATTTCTAATTGCATAAACATGACAAGTATGCATTTTGAATAGATACACTTTATCTATATGCAAGATTTATTTAGCATGTTTATGTTAAAGTATGGGGGATTGGTTTTGTAGTAAAATTACATAAATCATAAAATTTGGATGAAATATTTTTGTGAGTTCATGTTGAAGGTTAGCCAAAGTTATAAAACTAGTAGCTTAAGAAATCGTTCAGGTAAATATAGCCGCCTTCTTTTTCTCTAGAATATCTTATTACATATTCATTCTTCCAGCCCTCCAGGCTCAGATGAAATGAAATATCTCTGTGTTCATTCAAGTGTTCAGAGGCCAGATTTTATCTGGAAAACTCCTTTGTTTTTCTGGCCAACATTATATAGTAACCCTGCAGGAGAAATGCACAAACGCTAACCAGGCTTTCAGAACATTTCAGATAATTTCTCTTTATGAACTTTGTTTATAAAAGAAGAGGAGGAGCTTCATGCGAAAAGGAGGAAACGGTAACATAAAGTTAAACCCTTGTCCATCTTGTCCTAAAATCCATCTAAATCTGCACCCATCATTTAGAGACAGTTAAGGCCTGACCTTGCCTCTCATTTTGCCAAATTCATACACACCAACATGGCTGTTAACACTTATGAATTGTGTTTTTCTTCCCTGTGGCGTTTCCCTTCAGGATCTCTCCACCAGAATGTGCGTGTGGGTGGAACTGCCAGATCGGGCGAAACTTACTGAAGGTGCTGTTTAAAAGATGTTGAATTTGCTCTCCAAGAACATCATTAAAAAGCTTTAAGGCAAAAATAAGCACTTTTATTTTAACAGCAGTCATTTTGACCCCAAAAAACTCAAGGTGACACAAACCTTTAGGAGGGAGAAATTCAGCAATAACTCTCGCCAAAGCACAACCTGAAAGATGTCAGAGCCAAGTTTGTACCATGTGCTAAATCACAGGAGAAGGTTTCCCTTAGGGGCAAAGTAAGATAAGAGGGATCCTACAAACCCTCCACTCAGCAACATTCTGCATTTGCCTCATATTTCCAGATGCAAACTCAGCAGACTGGAGCAGTCAGACCTGTTGTAAGACTTCACCTCCTTCACTCTGAAAATAAAATCTACAAAAGCTGCAACTTTTCTCTCAAAACCTTATTTGATCAAAATATTTTTCAAAGTTTATTTCTGGATTGCATTTTATTCATTACCAGTTTCTTTTGTTTGAAATCATAATGGAATAAAATTCCCTCCACATTGTCTGTCAGGTTCTGTCAGGGTCGAAGTTTCACTGCTTCTTCTCCCATTTTCAGCCTATTTTTTGTACATCAGAAAGGCTTTAAAAAAAAAAAGCTTAGAATATCTAGTCTGGTCCAATTGTTTGATTTTAGATCGCACTTATGTGGCATAGCAAACCCCACCGCCAAACAGAGGAATGAAATGAGCAAAGCTGAGCTTTTTCCACTTAATCATCCACCTGTTTCATTTGTTTGGGTCGGAATAAAATGGATAGTGATAGAAAGATTTTAGCATTAGACGAGTATTCCACTCATTAAGCCATACAATATCATTGCCAAAGCTTAAAAAACAAAATCTACATCAGCAGTGAAAGCTTAATGTCAGCAGTCCAGGTCGGTCCTGATTAGCCCTTTGCAGTTTGAATTCATGGCCGCCGCTAACTGTGGTGATGTTGCTGCTGGTTGTCAGTTTGTTGGACAGAATTTCAATCTGGACTCAGAGAGAAGCTGAGAAGCTGTCAGGGAGTCGGGACCTACTGCAGCTCTGAGCCAAACTGACACATAAATAGTTTGCCTCAACATAATCATCATTATCCTTCTATCTGTGTTTATTGGACCAAAAATCTGGTCTGTAATCTGGTCACTAAAATATACCATATATCCAAATATTTGTTTAAAAAGGTAAAAAAAATAATGTTTTTATAATTATCATTAGGAGCCTCACTTATCCTTATTTAGAGGTTCGCTCTATGTGCAACATTTTGTAGTATCTATGTTTAAGACTCTCTTTTTAAGTAAGGAAGTCACTCTTGACTAGTTTTAATGGGACTGACCACTTTTTAGTCTACCTATCAACATTTGGTTAGAAAAGCACCTCTGTTTAATGCTTCTGGAAAACCTGCAGACAACATCGCCACCCACTAACAATGCTAAAGTCAGCATATGCTTTAGATTAGAGATTGACCCCCACAAGTTCTTTAAGGCTGATGTTGAATATTTTGACATCAGTCCAACCGGTCACCGGGATGTGGTCTTGTGGGGTGGATTATTAAAGGCGATATTGCAAATAGAGGGAGCGACAATGCATCATGGCATGGCTGCTGAATAGGCCAATGCATGCAACTATTGCCCAAAAATAGAAGCCTGTTAATTAATAGGTCCTTATGGAGATTTACCAATCCGATACCTGGATCAAACTGACTATTTAGCTGGATCAATATTGTTGTGATATCAGATATCGGAGATCCAATCCAGTGCAGTTTAAACTGAATTATTTCTTTCATTTTACTGCTATTTATTAATAAATAAGCAGCTGTGTTTGTTTGTTACATTTTTATAACACT